ACAATGCAAACTTACAGGTTGTGTACCCGAATCTTCCCCTGCTCCAAACGGTCCAAACAAACTAGGAATAGCATCGTCCTTCAGTTTCAAATGCTGTGCATATCCGGCCTCAAACTGGGCAATGTTTTGGAAGCTTTCGTCTGTGAAATGCCGCGCACACAGTAACGTTCTTCGAACCTCTGAAGGAACAGTGTTAAAAAGAAATTTCAACCACTGACTTCGTCGTGGTTCTTCCGTCGGTAGGACAAACAGCTCAGATTTCTCCTCACATTTCAGGAAACAGGTCCTTGGCATTGGCATGACTGGATCGATTGTGAACTGAACCAGAGCTTCCAACAGTAAATGTTAGGCTGGCAGAGGGTGCGGCCAGCGCCACTGGGTGTGACCATAGCTCTTCCGGATTGGTCCATTTTGTTCCGGGTACCGCATGACATCATGCCGTACCCGGAACTAAATGGAAGACTCAAATGGGCAGTGACGTATCTCCAACGAGGCGTTTTGGGGAGGTATTTTCTGTGTTAGAGTTTTACTCCCTACAGGGTGTACTTTGAGGGTTTTGACTCTGCACACCGTTTACACACTTGCCTACATGCATAAAAACCTTCATAACACACAAGGGGACGGGTAATAACCGGAAAAGCATGACATGGGAGCTTTAACATTTATGAAACTATTAATGTGTAGCACCAGATTAACGGGAAGAATCTCAGCTAACTGAAGATATGAACCATTTTTACCAAAACAAAACACAAGTCTCATAAGAAGCGTCTAAATGACCCCTGAGCGAAAAAATGCAAACTGACTTTGGCACACAATTCAAGATAAAGATACCCTTATTACTTATCGTAGCTGCACATACAATATAGCCTATTAAAGCTGAGACTCCACTGATTATTTAGGTATAGTATCATCGCTGAGCGATCCAAACTTGCGACAGAGGAAGCAAACACAGACATCACAACACGTACCTTTACAGAGTTTTTACGGCAGATCGTCTCACCGTAGCTGTCAATTAGGTCAAAAGACGTGTTCAATGGCATTAAAACGAGAAAAAAAAAAGCTACAACTGTTGATCCATAGGTTAATAATGTACCTGTGCCTTTTAAAAAATTATTTATAATCCATAATTCCATTTTTATTTAAAAATCAGCACGGAAAAGTTAGCTGCTAATGGTAGCCACCAGAGTGTATGCAGCTTCCGGTTTTGGTTACGCGTCACTCTCACTCCTTATTTGTTAACGTTTTGGTGTGTATAGAACTTTCCCTCGATTCCATTGGCTCTAGCGGTTATAAAGAGATTTCATTCATCAAAATCGACCAAGGGGGGCCAGAGATAGGTCAAATCCACCCAAATGACCCCAGAAGTGGGTTATTTTGGCTAAATCTCTCTAAAAAGGTCAAATTTCACTTGTTTTGTATCAATCTTGATACAGGGACTTTATTATATGTTGTACTTTGGATTCCTAAAGCTTTTAGTCTACTAACCTAAAAAGAATTTTTGGACGGACACTATAATTTACAGTTTTTTACTATGTAAAATCTGAATTTTCTTTAAAATAAAAAACATCTATATTGATTCCGACTTTTCTACATTCAACTCACAGGTTCATCATTACTTTGAGAATAAAGAATATTAATTTAACCCTTTTAGAAGGGAAGATATGGTCATTTGTTCTGGGAATGTCATTTTCGAGCCTGAGACCTGAAAAACAGGCTCAGGGCTTAACAGGTTAAAGGAGCAGCCAACAATCAAAATTATGAAGTTACTGTTTAAGGACATTACAGGCAAAAAGATCGTTTTTTCATGTACTTGTTATTTTGGTCTATTTTGCTTCCTTGTTTTCTTTCACTCTAATGGAAATAAAACTTCCAAGAAACACATATAAATGGTGTTCGTTTTACTGCCATGTCTGAATTAATCTATAGATTTAAAGCTAATCTGCATTTAAACATAACATTTCAGGGTGAAATACTGACTTGACGTAAGTAACTATCTGGGGAAGTGAGGTGATATGTTTTTTTGTTTGTTTTTAGTTTGATCCTTTTCACCTGCAATGCCTTGGTAACTGCATGCAAATTAGCGCATTTTTATTAGGCCTAGTTAACGCCTAATTTGCATATCAATGTGGCGATCGTGATGACGTTATTAGATACACATTTTACTGTATTCACCTTTAGTGTCTGTCTCCCCTTAAGTAGGCCTACAGTACATTAGCCTGTATGCCCATGATAAATTACCTTAGCTAAACCTTGAGCTAACTTATCCATTAGCTAGTAGCCTACCTTAGTTAACTATATTTGTTTTTGTCTTATGGCTAATTAGCTGTAAACTCGAGGCACTGGCAGTTTAGTCATTTGTTCATCACCACTCACCTTCAAAATAAGCCAAGAAAAGCCGGCATAACATGGGACTTTAAGGTGGGAGGTGCTGCTACCTGTCTGTCTTAAGTGACTGTAAGGTGGGAGGTGCTGCTACCTGTCTGTCTGAAGTGACTGCCGATGCAACACATCGATGACTGTCCGCACCGCTGTGCAGTAGACGTGGAGGGAGGGTAGAGAGAGCATCGGAACATCACAGTCTAATCTCCCGACCCGATATTTTTATTTTGTATTCAATCAATATATTTTTGGAAAGGGAAACTGTGCGCAAACAACAGCAGTAGATATATATTCATTTATAAAAAATGAAAAAAAGGGCACTTTTCAGGAGGAAGAAAAAGGGCAGGGGCTCGAGCCCACTTTGATGTCTATGTGTGCACGTGCCTGATCCAGTGTGGGACCCAAGCCAGCCGAAGATGGCAGGTTTAAAAGTGCCCTGCTGCAGCGGACCATTGCTCCAATCAAAGTCACCCAGGAACTCCTCATTAACTAACCATTAACGAATGATTCATTAATACAGTACCCCCCAGTCTGTTTACCAGCAACTAACCATCAGTTTTTCAATCTGAGGACTAGAATAACCAAAACCTCCAAGACTATGATAGATTTAGTATTTACTAACAAAGCTGACAGAATAGTTAAAACCTACAACTTACTGACTGGTCTTTCTGACCATAATATTGTTCTTTTTGCCAGGAAACTCACAAAAAAAAGGTTCATGGCCACACCTAAAACCCCTGCCTTGGGATCTCGCTTCATCCCCAAAAACCTGCAACAACGTTTTATGGATGCAGTGAAAATGATTGATTGGGGGGACACTCTGTCCTCTGAAGATATTGGTGAAAACAGTGATCTGTTTATATCTCAAATTAATGATACAATGTCTTCCTACTAGATGGTGCCTTAGGGACAGGAAGGAACATCATCTTCCCTGGTTGAATCTACAGTGCAGGAATTTAATGAAATCTAGAGACCGACTATTAAAGCAGAGCTTGAAATCCGGACTATCCACTGATAGACAGAAATTCACTCATGCTCGTAACAAGGTAACACAAACAATAAGACAGGCCAAAGCGAACTTCTTCATCAATATAATTGAAGGTGCGAAAGGTAACGTTAAAAAAGTTTGGCAAATCTTAAATAAACTATTAGATAAACATACCAAACAGGAAAATAATGTTCTAGAATTAAAAATCAATGATGCCCTAATAAAAGACCCTGCCGTGTTGGCTAACTTTCTCAATGAGTATTTCATAAATAGTGCTCTGGACATTACAAAGCTCTTCCCGCCATCTGAGGTCTCACCTAGCCCGACTGTGGATACACACCCCATTTTTGACCTGGAGGAAATCACAGAGGTTGAGGTAAAAAATATAATCTTAGGGTTAAGAGGTTCTAAGGCTAGGGATGCAGATGATTTAGACACCAACTTTATAAAAACACATATCGACGGTCTAATAAAACCAATTACTATGCTAGTAAATCAATCTATCAGCACGAGGGAAGTTCCATCATCCTGGAAGGTGGCCACGGTAACACCGATCTTTACATCTGGGTATAAGGCAATGATGTCCAATTATAGACCAATCAGCATCCTCCCCTGTGTCTCTAAGATAGCTGAGCCCATACGTAGGTCCTGTCTTCCTTGATCTCAGGAAGGCTTTTGACACTGTTGACCACCAAGTGCTCCTTACAAAGCTGACTCATTTCAATTTTTCGGCAGTTTCGATACATTGGTTTAAGTCTTACTTATCGTACAGAAAACAGTGTGTTTTGGTCAACGGAGCCAAATCCCCCTACCTTGTGAACCCTGTTGGGGTTCCACAAGGTTCCATTCTTGGACCATTACTGTTTTCTCTGAATATACTAAACATTCTATTAAAGAGGCCCTATTCTGCTTTTTGGATTTTCCCTTTCCTGTAGTGTGTTATAGGTTTCTGTGCATGTAAATAGTCTGCAAAGGCTAAAATACCTGTGTTCCCTCCAGAGGGAGTTTCTCTCCCACACACTCTCCCCCTGCCTGAAAGGCATCCATTGGACTCCTTTGTTTACTTCTGTGAAATAGTGACACTATGTAACACAAGAACATGGTACGTTATGGAGCGAGACATTTCCATCTCTAAGCAATTGACCAATCACAACCGACCAGCTAACCAATCAGAGCAGACTGGGCTCTGGTTTCAGACAGAGGGTGAAAAGAGGTGCTGCAGCACAGGCAGTATGAGACAAATAAAGAGCTTTTTCAACATTAAAGCATGGAAATGTGTCACAGAAAATACTAAACCTGAAAATGAGCATAATAGGGCCCCTTTAAATATATTTTGGCGTAACTGAAAATGAGAATTATATGTACTCTTTGAATTCAAATATCCTTTCAAGCTTTATATTTATGAGGCTGCATTCTCCTCTATGATTCTCCATTTATGTTTAGCAAAGAGAACACAACGTTTTGTAGTAGAATGGATGTTGGAAAACCAAACAGCCATCATTCATTAGTAGTTATATTTCGACCACAAGATGGTAGCATATCCAGCCATTCCATGTAGGGAAGAATTTCTGCCTGGAAATGAGAGGCGGGTCCCAAAATAGAAGGAGAGTGAGGCAGCGGAGAGAGGGAATGGGAAGAAAGATGAGAAGTGAGTGGAGAAAACGGAGCGTTTGAGTCTCTCATGCTGTCACATCTGAAGCAAAGTGTATCCATCCGGGGTCCAGAAAGTAAGATCTCTCTCTGTTTCTCTCCCTCCTTCCTTCTCTCTCTCTCCTTCCCTCCATCCTGACCATCTCCCCCTCTCTTTGCTGTGGTCAGACAGACAGATGAGTTTTTCCAGCCAGCCAGCAGACACATGTGGAAGCTGCTGCTGCCCTCCCTGCAGAGAGCTGGGTAGACGATCCTGGAGCCAGACGGCAGCAGCATGCCCCCTAACCGGCTCTGAGCTGTCCACGTAAGTACGCCACACTCACATGCATGTGCTGTCAGAGGGAGGCTTGTTCCATGGTCTGTCTGCTGCATACACACTCTGTACACATGCTGATGGCGCACACTCTGAACACATGCTGTAAATTAAGTTGTTTGTGCTTTTGCCTCTAACTGATTCACCGGGAGCAATACATTTGCCGTGGGAAGTTATTCAGGGTATATCTTTTAAATCAGAAACATATGGACACACAGAAAAACGTCCAGATAGCTGAGTTGTGATGTCATCTGTCAGCCCAAACCAAACATTCAGGTTCCATTGCCTGATAGGAAGATGAACCGTCCAATGCCTACACATGTATTTTTTAAGTTTATGTATATCTTTAAGGGTCATTTAACCGAAATCACAAAAGACATTACTTAACACTTATATTATTTTAATTTGTGCAGAAGGTATATCACTGCCACTTTTTCCATGATCTTTGCAGAATTCTCAGCGTCTCCTCAAACAGCCTGGATAAAAGTAAAATGGAAAAATATTTTCAAAGGGATCTCCTTGCAAACTGTAAACTATAGAATAATGGAACGTATGAATCCAACCAATATAACAGTCACTATGACTCTGAACATAGAAGGAAATGGTGATGCTGTTTTAGTGGTGAGGTCAGGGTGGTTTGTTTGGATAAAGCATTGGACTTTAATTCAGGAGACAGCTGTTCACTTCCTGTTTCCTACTCACAGTCAAGGTTATTTAAACCACATCATCTATTCCCTAACCAAGTTTTATAACCATGACGGAAAAAAACATTTCACAACCAATCCAAATAGTTTTTGGTATTTTTGCCTAAATCAAACCAAACAATGTCAGATCATAAACCAGCTGAAACTGTTTTGGACGACACAGAAACATGATGTTGCTCCTACTGACGGGGGCGTTAGATGAAGCAAACAGGCGGACGTGTTTCAGTGGCCAAATGTTCAACTAAACCTCCATTCTAGTCTAGTTCCATTCTAGATTTTTTCCTATTGTCTTACATTGGGAAAGAGATGTCTGTAAATCAGCTGAACATTTTTTTAAGTACATAAACTAACCATTATAAACACTTGTATAGCCTGTATTTAAATCATTAGGGTCTAAAAGTTGTAAAATACGCTCAAAGCTGAATCAAGAGTTGAATCAGGAATTATTTTCCCTCTCTTAAGGAAAACTGAAGTGCGCATGGTCTATGGACCCAAAACCCCAAATTCTGGGTTATTTTGAATCTGCACTCGGTCTGTCTGAGTGACTTCTATATGAATGGAACCCCGCGTCCAACGCTGTATCGAGTTCTCTTTTTACATCCATGGGTCGGACCAGGAAGAGTTTCTATGTTGTTCATATTAGGGACATGACGAGCATAAATACAGTGTGTGTCTAGGTGCTTAAGAGCCAAAAAACCTTGTAGAAGCCGTAGAGAATCAATCTAAACGAAAGGAATTGAATCGAAGTGAAGTCTTACCTATAATCACATTTTATCACAAATGAAATAGTGTAATCTGGATTGATTTGGTGTAAGTGTTGCAGATGTTAACCCTACAGATCCCTGCCTTCTCTTTAGAAAAATGCTGTGTGCCAATGTGCCATCTTCCATTATATGGAGAGGAGGCAGACTTCGTTACAGCTGATATTTCCAATTCTCAGCAACTCACACAATAACGATCTAAGCATTACAGGTAAAAGAAAGATTTTTATTTATTTTTAAGGGTGAAAAAAACCGAATGTAATAATCCAAAGAGTTGACAAAACCTTTGATCTGGGCCTTTTTTACAGCCATCGTGAAATGTCATAACAAGACATTTCTTTTTTACAAGATACTTTTCATGTTATAACAACATATTTCTAAACCTAATATCTACACCTGTATAACATGTATTTTCACCCCATTAAATTAGAGAAATATAATGTAAAGTAAAGGACTGGTGAGACTGATCCTGTGAAGACACATGCAGGCTGCCATGGACTGAACCGCTGCTGCTGTGCTCTCTTTCAAACCCCTGAGAAATAGTTTGGGAAAATCAAGTTTTCGCTCCTTCCATCCCACCACGCTAACAAGAGGCTGGAGATTAGCCGGTTATGAGACTCTAGAGTTTTGTTTTATAGCCTGCTAACTTGATTCCACTGTACAGCAGTCAATAAAAATAAACCGCCTCCGAGAAAATGCTTCAGCAGCTGCCACTGTATATGGAGATCTGCATTCAAGTGTAGGGAAAGGCTGAGAGGAGGTATTTAGCACGTGAACAGGCTACAGTGTTCACTATCATACCACAACTGAAACATTTTGCACATGGTATAGTTTTGCATAATCTTCAATTCCACACGTTTTATGACTTCATGACAAGAGGAGGTTATGTAGAAAACAATTACATGTAAAGGGTCTATGTTAGTATTTACCTGCATGCATTATTATGTTGAATTCCTTAAAGGAAAAGTGATATTCTATATTTGTATATCTTGGCAAAAGTCCTATGAAAGTGCCAGAACAAACGGTTAATTGATCTTAATAACTGTGTGTCTATCCAAAGCCATTGCGTCCTCCTCTGCTGAGCCATATGGGCCAAATACCATAACTGTGTAATTATCCGCTCCTGAACAAATATATATAAAAATAGTCCCCAACAAATACACTTCTGCTAGAAACTACTATGCTGTTTAAGGAAATCAAAGAGGCTTTCAAAAAACGATTAAATATTTATGAAAGGTATTGAAGCAATAATTCAATATTTGATGTGTGTTATCTAATCAAACACAGGAATTTGTTGTGAATATAAAGACAACGCTGTTTGGAATACGCTTGTTTTGTAACTTTTTTTCTCTGCAATGCTTGTTGTTGTTGTCGTCGTGCAGAGGTTGGGTGGTTTGGAAATGTGGCTGGGGAAACCTGTAAACCCAGCAGAGTGATTTCTTAAGTTTTTAACAGGTAAAAACTGTCAACTAAACTAGAGAATTACCATTGTTCTTGTAATCGTAAGAAGCTCACCTGAACATGGGCGGCATATCGCTCAGGAGAGAGGTCGGCCCTGCAGTCAACGCACTGATAAAACGGAACCGTTGACTTTAATTAAATGTAATATGGCATGTTTAAGTGGCTATTATATATATGCGGAACTTCTTATTACTCCCCATCGCACGTGCTATCACTCCTGACGAGCAGAACATTAAAGCATAGAAAATGTCAAAGTAGAGGCACAAAATAAAATATGAACTTGAAAATTAGCAGAATAGGGTCCCTTTAAAGCCAATTTCATTTTGTCAGCTGTAGTTTTCTTAACAGTATAAATAACTATCACAACGCAAGATAAAGAAAACCCTTTTCAATGCATGTTGCTGTTTATGTAGTAAACCCACATCAATGTGTCTCTGTAGTCGTGTGGAGCTGCAGCTGCTGAGGGAGAGGGAGAGGAGCGAGAGACATTGGAAGGGATGGGTGTCATGGAAGAGAGGGACTGTAAGAGAGAGGGAGGGAGGATTAGGGTGGGTGCCTGTGGTGGAGCATGATGTCAGAGGAATGTGTTGAGCCTCTCCTTTAACAAGCCGTGGGGAGCCCCGGCCACCTCAAGATTCTCCTCACACACACACACACACACACACACACACACTTCACCCTGTTAAACTCTTTCTGTGTGCCGCATGCACACACTCGCTTTCACATACACACAGGATCCAAATGTTGATAGGTTGGCACTCAATAACTTTTAAGTTAAGTTTAAGCTAGTTTATTTTTTACATTTTTCTATGGACATGATTTAGAAATTAAAGGTAATATTATTATAAATCTTTTTCCAATGCAAAACTCACATTGTCATTAAAGTATTGTGAAATGTGTTTTCAGTGGTTAGTTTCATTTGAGTTTTGTACTCTCTCAGCATCCGGTCCTCCAGCTGGAGTTTGTTTCAGGGATTACAGAGATGGAGATGGAGGAAAGGAAGGAAAAGAGAGAAAAAGGAGGAGAGGGAAGAGAGGGGAGACAAGGAGAGAAAAAGGGAGTGGTAGAGAAAGCAAGGACAGGCAGATGGAAAAAGAGAGAAAGTGACTGTGTGGGAGAGCCAGACGCTGGGAACAGCTGGGAGACGATGACTAATAAAAGCAGTGAGGTAAGGAAGGAGAGACAGGCTGTGTGTGGAGGGCAGCTGCTACTGTAAACCAACCTCAGTGAAGTCAAGAGTATTTATAGCAGGGTGACCCCCCCCCCCCCCCCCCCTTGCCTGAAATGCCTCCATTAGACTGTTTACTTCTGTGACATAATGACATCACTATGTCCCACTTGCGCTTCTATTGGTTAGTGCTCCATCACATTGTATGTGATAGGCTAAGGGGCGGGACATCTCTAAGAGGTTGACCAACCACAACAGAGCCGGCCAGCTAACCAATCAGAGCAGACTGGGCTCTGGTTTCAGACAGAGGGTGAAAAGAGGTGCTTGTTGAACATTAAAGCATGGACACATGTCACAGGAGAGGCACTAAAGACTAATATGAACCTGAGAGTGAGCAGAATAGGGCCTCTTTAAAGTCAAATGATTGTACTCTTTCCCACTTGGTCATAGAGCTGTAATATATAAAAATGGTAATTTCCTGAATAAAAACAAGATAACATTTACATTCATATATTTTCCATCCACCTGTTTTTATGCACAAGTTTGTTTAGCGATTACATTTAAATGCAACAAAGTTCAATAAAAAACAGACATAGTGATTAAATCATGCTGTAAGGGAGCCTAGGACTTGAACTTCTATTGAAGCCTCCACTCCAGGTGTGAAGAGAGGAAAAACAGCAGCAAATAGAGCGATGAAAACACCATAACCGTCTCCATATTAATACTTTAAACTAACATTTGTTAACTTAAAGGTTAATAATATCGAACGTAGAACGAGGCTGATTTGCATCAACACTGCATGTCCAGGGGTTCCCAGCAATACACTCAACAAGTGTTAGTAGACCGGATGAGCGGTTCTGCGGAGAGTCTTGGTTTATAGTAGACGTATTACCTGCACCAGAGCTAGAGGGACCAGTAGCAGGCCATGCAGGACGCTCTGTGGATGAATGATAAACTGTGTTCTCAATGAGAAGAAGACAGGAGTTTGTATCTTGTCCAAGTCAGTGTTTAATTCAAGTGTGCACACTCTGGGCCCAGATACGGGGGGTTTTGCTTGCGAGTGTCTCAGCGCTCCGCAGAAGTTAATAGAGTTAATGATCTTGTTCTTAGTTTGAACTGTAAAATTGGATTTAAACTCATCTAAAACATGAGATAAGAGTTGAATTATTAATTAAATCAGTGTGTGTTTATTTAGTTGTTGGTTTTATTTTTCATTTTTCATATCCACAACCAAAGTTCAAACTATAGTTTTTTTTATCCTTCATGGTGGTTTTTCTAAACTCTTAATATTTAAGTGCTTTTTTTCACATTCTGCGTAAAGGTTATATCATGAAATCTGGAATAAAGTCAGGGAACATTCCTTTAAAAAGTAGCCCACAGGCTGCAGAGAAAAGGGAAGTGCTTCCTGGAGAGAAAAGTGAAGTGGCACCTCAAATGTGCGTACGTCTTGTACAGTAAACCCGCTAAATACTTTGTTAGAATCCCACATGAGTGAGGAAAAGGCATGACGGGGAAAGAGGTCAATGTCAACAAGCCCAACCACCAACAGCATATAAATGTACACATGAAGTCTTTGAGTAAATGATTAGTGTACATTACAAGTTACTTGCAACAACACGCCCTCAAACTCACTGCAGACATGGTCTGATCTCGTTAAAAAAGGATTGTTGAATGCCAGACTGTGAATCTGCCTCACCCTGCACAGGTTCAATTGGTTTCAGAATTAGGTATAATAGCAAGTTAGTTTCAAAGTAGGAAATGTTCCTTGGTATTTTCATATTGGCACATTTGCAAAATAAAGTAAATAAGCAATGCACAGAAAAATGAGGCCAGGTTCTGATCCAAATGTTGATTAATATCAGGGTTTCTCAGAGAGGGATTACTGTAGTGGTACGCAATATTATTATTTGTTAAGTCTTATACAAAAAGAACGTATGTTTTAATCCTCAAATCATGATACTGTAATAATTCAATATTCCTTTTTTAAATGATATTGTTAACAGTCTTAAACGGTGCAACCAAAGCTATCCTGTTCACAACAATGTCTGTTTATTGTCGGTTTCAATTTCAATAACGGATCAAAATCAGGAGAATTGAGTTGCGGTCGAGAAGTCGCTTTCACAGCTTTATGTTGTTGCTTCTTTTTTTTACCAAAATATTTAAATGGGGCAGTATTATTGCAAAGACCAAAGAGTGCACACAGCGGAACACTCTTCTATCTAACAAATGAAAACGAATCAACTACAGCACTTTTCATTTGCATTACTGAAAAGCAAGTGCACAGGTAAAACAGCTAAACCTTTTAATGTGGCATGTGTTGACTCAAATCAAAGTTCCTGTAATGAAATAAACATCCCTTAGACTTTTAACGTTCAACCCAATACAGTCGGATGTGTCAGTAAAAGGCAAGGAGCCAGGAACATGGTAATCTTTGGTACCAAATGTTTTTCAGACTCAAGTAGACTTTGTCCAGCTTTACAGTGGAAAGTGCTTCGCTGTTTAAACAGAAGGGTGGGGAGAAGTTTTCTCTGGAAATCAAGACTGCTTATTCAGTCCTCTTTTCATCCGTTCCTGACGGGGAATTAAAGAGTCCAGTGTTTCATTATTTCGGAACATTTAATGTGGCTGGCCGCTGCCTATTTCACCACAGTGCAGCAAGGCGCAGGAAGTTTTATAAGCAGCCGTCCCAGTAGCCTGGGGCCTGGAAGGACCTCTCTCTAGTAAAATTGGAGAGCAAGAAATAAGTGGCTCAATTGTGTGTGTGTGTGTGTGTGTGTGTGTGTGTGTGTGTGTGTGTGTGTGTGTGTGTGTGTGTGTGTGTGTGTGTGTGTGTGTGTGTGTGTGTGTGTGTGTGTGTGTGTGTGTGTGTGTGTGTGTGTGTGTGTGTGTGTGTGTGTGTGTGTGTGTGCTGTACTGGAAATAGAGAGCTGATTTCAGTTGGCTGTGGGTCTTAAGCTGGCCTCCACATGTTGTAAAAACACAGACGCAAAGCAGAAGCAGGTTACTACAGGGCACAGAGCGAGAAAAAGACTTTCTTTGTGTGTCATGTGCTTTTAGTGAAGCAAAGTACTGCTGTGAGTCAAGGGGGGGGGGGATAATGCTGAGCTCGGCTCTTTGATGAGAGTTAGCGTCAAAATGTAATTTGAGTACTGCTGTCTGACTACACAGTATTTATTTGTTGTTTGTGTAAATGTAGACCCCCACATATATAACAACAATATAACACACTTTTGCGCAGCATCTATTATTAATCTTGCAAGTTTAGTGAACCCGGAAATGTTGAGTACCCCAAAGTTTTATGATAGAAATGTATAATACAGGTCCCCAGCACAAAGAAACTGCTGGATGGTAACTTGCATACTGTATGTTGGCAATTTGCACAATTAGCTTAAATTGCCTTAATCAGCAATAATGAACATTATATTTTTGCAGATTTTGAGTGGTTTTGGGGTTTAGTGAGGATTCTTTCAGGATCCAAAATGGAACCAGAAAGTTGCAATATTCTTATTCTCAGGGGGCCGATTTTTACTTCTATGAGCAACCATTGGATATAGAGAGCAGAAGATGAAAATGATTGCCTCTACTGTGGACAATTCTTTTTCAAATGGATAAGCAATTTGTCCAATCCAGATGATCGAGAGTCCACTTAAACTTCAAAATCGACCCAAAATGAATCAAAGTCAGCCCACCGGTAGTACAAATATGGCCTTTCTGGTTCAAATTGCCATTTTGGATCCTGAAAATGTCAGAAATGCATTCAGCATCCTCAATAATCCCTGAAACCACTCCAAAATCGACCTAATCGGCAATGCCATTTTTTAACTATTGTCAACATACAGTAAGCTATAATGCTAATTAATGCTAAATACGCAACTTGTGCTAATTGCCCAACATCCCACCAATAGTTAGCACCCGGCATTTTCTATGTACTGGGTAGCCGTACTATACATTTCTAACATAAAACGTTGGGGTGCTCAACATTTCCGGGTTCATAATAATATACCGCTTTATTATTATTATTATTATTACTGGCTTCTATCTCTAATTTAGACTACGCAACTATGCTAACACAATCTGTAATACCTCTGCAATATATACTTTTACTTTCACTACTGTTACCTGGCTGCTATCACACTACTACTACGTCACACGCTCGACTAACTTTATTTTATAAAAAATTAAAAAACTATTACTTATTGTTTTCCACCTGGATGGGTACTTTTGTAAATTGTGATTCTTATCATTTAATCTAATATTTGATGCATGCCTCCTAATTCATATTTTGCCTCTTCACTTTTGCTGTCACAATGTGCTTCCCCGAATAAAGGTATGCTAACTCTGATTCTAACTTTATTCTTCTAAACATTTCTTTACAGCTTCGCCCATCCCTCTACAATCCTGTCGCTCCACTTTGTGAAGATGTAGTCTGTTGGATCTCCATGGAGATGTCTCCAAACACCGTCTCCTCTGTCTTGTTCCCATGGTCACTTTGGCTGCTGTTCTTCCTGACCCCCGTCACCCGGACAACCAGCTCCGCCCCCTCCTCTGAAGCTCCTCCGCCGGCCAATACCACGCTGCTGTTTGACAGTGGCACCAGCCTGCGGAACTGCAGCTGCTCCGCGGCGCTGCGGGACTGTGACGAGGCTCTGGCCAACTCGCTGTGCAGGTGCCACACGGCCCCCCGCTCCGCCCTCCCCCCCGCAGGCCTCACAGAGCCCGGGACCCTCACCGTGTGGGTGAAGGAACTCTGGGTCCTGGAGGAGCTTCTGAACAACAGCAGGGTCGGCCATTTGCGGTTGTCTTTTTGTGGAATAAAACCAATGGACAGTCAGTACCTGGCTCTGCTGGGTCTGCGGACCCTCAGGATCCACAGTGCAGTCCCAGAGGCCCCCTACCCCCACCAGGAGATGACCATCTCCCCAGCAGCGGGGCTTGCGATGGAGATAGAAACCCTCTCCTTTGACATCTCCTCCTCCCTCCGCGTGACCTTTCTGGATATAGCAGTTCTCAACGGGCTCTCTGCCCTGAAGGCGTACAGTGTTTTGGGACCACCTGCTCACACCCTCCCCCAGCACTTCCCCCACTTGGCCTTACCCCTTGCTCTGCCATCCACTGATACTCCTGGTGACCCTACAGACCCCAGTGAGCAGGCCTCAGAGCCTCCACTGCTTTTTACGTTTGTCTACTAACAACAAGCTCCTATCACTGAAAAAACTGAAGCGTTGACTTTAATTAAATGTATTATGTCAACAATTTACACACATTTGTATTAGGTTAATTAAAGGTAATAATATTACGTTTAAATAAAAGTATTAGGTTCAACCTTATATTATTGCTTACAACATAACCTTATTCAGTTATGTGTAATTTGTTGACATAGTACATTTAATTAAAGTCAACGCTTCAGTTTCTTCAGTGAGTTCAGGCCCATGCATGCAGTACAAGGGACAACTGGTGTGCAGCAGTTACTACACAGCTGGATGTACTGTAGGAGAAGTTGCACATGTGGAATATAAAACCCTTTTGGGTGACAGGCTGCTGTACTGTCAGTCTGGCCTACAGGTGGCTTTGAGCCGGGGCTCCAGAGAGGCTGACATCCCTCTCCCCCTGATGTTCATCCTCAAAGGAGAATGTTGACTCCAGGATTGTCACATGTTTGCTTCCCACCCCTGAAAGATAATGCAGACAAACACACAAACACAAGGTTTGGGAACGTTAACAGAAGCTACAGAGTCATGCCTTTCTTTAGAGTATTGTTGGTATCCTTATACAACATAAATAATGTTGAAGCTGTAACGACCTTGATTCTCACGTCTATCTATGCGATGCTTTACTTGTGCTAATGTTTTGGAACTGCAGCTCATATTTGGGTGTAGATACATGGTGTGTTTACATGCGGAAATATTATCATGTAAGCACAATATAAATGCTTAACAATGTACTAATGCTTCATGGATCATACTGTAGGGCTGTGAGCTGAGAAAGAGGGAATTACAATTTGAATATTTCTTCCCATGTCCACATTCATGGCAGGTAGAAGGCATAAGCCCGTTTTTAAGTAAGTGAGTTTTGGGTTGCCAGGTTGTGAACAAATATTGGTATTTTACTTTCTAATAAGCAAAATAAAGTTAATTATAAAAAAGTCAGTCGATAATTACTTAATTAAATTATTTACGTTTAAATTAAATGATTATAACATTGACACTCTTTATAGCCAAAGTAATTTAAGCAACTTGGCAACTTCTAATTATAATGGCTGTTAAGTGATCATAAAGCATTAGTCAATCATTTGTTAACCATTTGTAAAGGCAAAAATAGTAACTAGAAAAAGTGTTGTTCTTTTACTAGAAAAAGTAAAAACCCTTGCCCAAATATGTTTATGCGGAGGAATGAGTTAATGGAAAAAAGCTTATCCAAGAACAAGCTGTTAACATGGTTCACTATTAGAGCTAATGTTGGATCTCATCAAACCTTCTTATAATCTCAATAAGAGCTTACATTTTTAAGCTCTTAAATGGAGTGTTAGTGGCTTATCTGCAGATGTTCTCGTAAATACTACTCTCCGTGTTCACTCTGACAATAGGTAGCTGGACGCCACACAGGCCATTGTCACGCCTGACATTATAACACAAGTTATTATGGAGGTCACATCACTGCGTGTCCACATCTGGCCTTGAACATTTTCTTTCCAACTGCCAATTTTCACATTGGATCCGGAACACTTGACAGCGTTGTGAGCTCAAGCTGGTTTTGTAGCCCAGCTTTCAAGTGTTGATCCGATGACACCCAGCAGGTGAACATGTGACAAGTGTAACCACAGTGTAGCTAACTGTCCAGACGGAATCATACACCACAACAATAATATCCACAGGGTGAGATGTTCAAGACCCCACTAACAGCTGCCAATATTGTGTTAGCTCCTCGCCCATCCAGGTGTAGTCAGATATATCAAGGCAGAAGGATTACATGGACAGTAGGGTGCAGTTGTTTCTGATTGACATGAAGGCAGTTGATGAGTGAAAAGAGAAACTTGAATATATCAGTGGAGAAACTGAAAAATTAACGATTTTTTCGTACAGGATACAAGGGCTTACTCAACGGTTTCATGAGTCTGAAAATGATGTATGGGTGTGTACACCACCATCATCAAGTGTTCCTCCCCCAGTACATTGTAGCTAGATGTGAATGATGAGAATCCTGTCCCAGGCTAATTGATTTGATGTATTAATGAGGTTTTAATCCCAAAAGTGAAGCACATTTTTCTCGAGTCGCGCCCGAACATTAAACATTTGCCACTTGATCGATGAGTTAGTTTGACGCTGACATCATGACGTTGTTTGATCAGAAATGAAGGAAAGCTGTGTTGGCTATCATCGATAAATAATCATAATAAACACCCCACATGTGGATGAGTTAACACGATTTTAAAGTAACATGGCGTGTATAACAGTAACATGGCCGCCGCATTTATTGACAGGTCTCTCTTGAAAATGAGACCTTGTGTCTCAAGGAGATTTTACACCTGTATAAATAAAGGCTAAATAAAAATTCCTTATTTAGATGACTTAATTTTTAGTGTTGGCGAAGAGGCTACATTGTTAGCATAGACCTGATCGAGCTCCATTGAGAAAACAAGTGTTTTAAAACCGGTTTGCTTGGCGTCTTACGGACGGAAATAAAGTCAGAACCCTTCAAATCTGCATCATATAGTTTCAACATACTTAAATCTGTGCAAATGTATTGCAATAAAATCACAGCAAAATTGGGTTATCTTTGGTTCAAACTGCTGTAGTAAATCAGATAAGCGTGTTAGCAATACATACTTGTGTTGCTCTGCACCGTTGGTTTGAACACAGCATAACACAAGGACAAAGACTGTTAATAAGAACCATCAGAGGCATTTTCGTAGGACGAGGGTTTTACAAAGTAACAGAGAGTACGAGGTTTAATGCAGCCCTGGATTAAAGAATGTTTATCCAACTGGATTAAAGCCATGCCATATTTGGTAAATTGTAAAGGGTTTATAGATGTCTGCGTTGTATCTACAGTTCTAATTTGCAACATGTGGCGGGTCTTGTAGTTCACCTTCATGTCAGACTGCTGTACGCTGCAGTCTCAATAAATGACTTGCTGTGGGGAAAGGAGAAAGCAAAAGAACAAATGCATGCCTCAGGGATCAATAGAGCACAATAAAAAACAAGATGTTCTGTGGCAGCTGATTCCAGTGAACACTGGCTGGAACCTGTCCAAACAATCCAGTGTGGGGTCAGCCTGTGCACCGGGGCTGGAGGATATCTTCAGTCGGGAAGGGAGCTCTAAAAGTGGTTTTACTTTGGTAAAGATATATTTTTAAAGTAAATTATAGTCTAATTATCTTTTGTCCAGATTAGGACAGCTGTCCGGGGCAAAAACATAGAAGATAGTATAAGTAAACAAAAAAATTGAGGACAAGGACTGTGTCAGTCTGCTGTGGTATGAGGAGGCGCAGTAGGCTGCTGCGTTTTCCCAGCTGCTCTTATTGAGTGCAGATGGCCTAATAAAACAAGTTGTTTTGTAACAGGTTAGAATGGACTGCCAATTAACAAGATTGTTAGGACCCTATGTCACCAGGCAACTAATAGCACTGTGTTTGGATCAGGACAATGACTCTGTTTAGTTGATTGAGTTATGCGCTTATTAGCATGCTAAGAGCCAAGATGGCTGCTCTCTTTAAGGATAGAGCAGGAAGGGAGAGAGAAGGCGTCACTCTGAATTTCCCTGAACTTCCTCAGTGGTCTGCGTTTTGTCTCTGGATAGTATTTGCAGTCACTTACGCTGAATGTGAGAGGGATTACAGGACAGTTTGGAAAAAAAAGAAGTCAAGGTTGTTTCATGCTTTCGTCTGCTCTCTGGTTCCAGCTCATATCCTGTGAGAGACTTGCTTAAAGCTGCTCTCACCAACACAATCCAGAGTCCAGGGCCAACACTTCTGTTCCGCAGATCATTCAATCACCCTTCTGTGTGTGTGTGTGTGTGTGTGTGTGTGTGTGTGTGTGTGTGTGTGTGTGTGTGTGTGTGTGTGTGTGTGTGTGTGTGTGTGTGTGTGTGTGTGTGTGTGCGTGCGTGCGTGCGTGCGTGCGTGCGTGTGCAATTGGAGCAACATGGGTGTGTGTTATCTCCTTTTTGCCAACATCACAGTGAATGTTTCACTCATGAATGATTGGTTTTAATTCAACATCACAGTGATACATTAACAGATAGAATGTGTGCAGTACAAAGTTGCTCAAAAGATTCACGGTGTATAACTTAATAACTCTATAGTTTTCTATATTTAAGGGATCAACTCATCCAAAGAGTTTTAAAACAGCTTCATGATGCAAACATTTGAAGAAAAAAGAAAGGCCAAGAGATGCTTGCCCAGTTACTCCCAGAGGAACAGGGATTAAACACTGTGTCAGGATTTTGCACCATGTTGAGTGCCTCTAATTTATATACCAAGAAAAATGTGGTAATTAGAACAAATCAGAACAGTGCTACTTTAGATGCGTTAAAACTTACATTGCATATTTTACATTAGCCATGAGTCTGTTGTCGCTACTGCAACTATTGATTCTAAAATTCGATTTCAACCTGAATTTCTTTTTCAGTTTTCAGTTATTTAGTTTTGTATGTTTATGTCAAATGTAAGTCCTATACTATCTATTATGTTAGCTCTGTTTAGCTGCTTACTGCTCCACTTTGTTTACCCTCTGGTCTCTAACTGTGTCTGTCTGCTGCTTAATGCTGAGCACACTCAGTCCAGTGGCCTTTTACTGAAAACAGCTCAATGAAGGCAGAATGAACTGCAAAGGCACATTAGTGGCCTCCATCATGCTGTGTAAGTCGCCTTCTTCTATGATACTTGCCATTATTTGAGCTTATACTGATCTTTTCACCTGTTTACAATTATTTAAAGACTTTACTGTCTTTATTTAGTTTTGTGTATACTTAATTTTTCCCTGCCGTGTTATTTGTTAAAGCTGCACACTTGCAACATTTGCACTTCTTACTGCTTCTTTCCACTTCATGGTAAGGCTCTCTTTTGGTACCTGGGGCTTTTACTGATTTTGTGTTCAACTGCAGACACTACCACCCTCTGCACTGTCAACAAGACACTTGCAGAATCCTTTCATTAGCAACCAAAACAGAGGTCCTTCCTGAATTGTATGGATAATATCATTACTTCATGTCTGTTTCCTGTGACAATTCTCTATGATCGATCAGTGGTCCACCCTGTTTTTATTTTTTGTTGGCTAACCTCGCTTCGGACCTCGACCATGGTGTTCCCAAAGAAAGTATACAACTTTTGCTAATGGAAACCAAACATTGCCAGTGGAGCTGATTAGAGCCCTAGCGGCTGTGCCATGCTGTGGAAATGTGGCATTACTGTTTCTTTAACACTTGGGTATGGAAACAGGATGATGACTATACCGCCTGGGCCTGGGAGTTTTACCATGCCCCTTTTCCGAAACAAGACTTAACTGTGGCTCTTTCTTTGTTGAATGGAAACACATTTCATTATGCAACAGGCAAAATGAATGCCTGTGTAACTGCGATGATTACCATCTGGAAAAGAATAAAGCCAGAGCATGGCAAGTTGCTCAGTAAAGAGGAGTTGGTACTGAAAGGCGTTCCAGACACCTTTTTGTTGCCTTTGCGCCAACATTTAACAGCCAGTGTTCAGCAGAGGAACAGACAGGGAGTTCACCCACCCATAACATTATTGCTCTTACCGAGAAATCCGCAGTCACTCCCATCTGGTGAACGGGGTGATTACACACCTATTAATGCTTTTCAGACAGGATGTTCAGAGCAGGCCATGAGACTTGGTGCTCATGCTCCCTTCAGCACAGCATAAAAACGTCTGGAACATTCCACCACAAAATGATTGAAAATGAGATCACTCTCTTGTGTTGGAGCCTCGACCTCCTTTTCTTTCTCTTTCTTTTTTTCTCTGTCTTGATCTTCATCACCGCACCTTAAGTAATGCATCAGGGAATGTAATTATTCAAATGTAAAACACAGATTTGTAATGTGTAAGCCAAGGCTAATGCGCCTTAGGTTGGAACACATGACAGCAGATCTGCATTTGTACAACTGTTGACATGTTGAGTGAATCGTGTACTGTTTTACGAACGGCTTGTGTATTTAGGACTGGCTTGAGAGGTTTGATTTGTATATAATTTGGCTTATTTAAGAAAGATTCCAGGAGCTAATTTGTTTATCATGAAAGACGATGTGGATTGTTCCTTTTGCCCACACACGTTGTCCCTCTGTATAGTCTGAGAAAATAAAAGACTTGTTATAAAACTTGTTTTGGTTGTTTCTGTTTCTTTTCTTCGTGTAAAACTTCTGATTTGAGCTTTCTAGCTTCATCTATGTTGTTGAAGCTCCCATTGGTGATTACTACTCAGTGTATCTGCTGCAATTTGATCATTTGTAGCTTTCTTAAGACCACATTTCAGTGCACGTTTTTCTTTCTTTCACCATATTGCTCATTTCTAAACATGCTACATAAACATTATACTCACCAGAGTTCTTGTTTAGGTCACGGCAACACTGCTAACTAAGGATGACAGGACAAGAAACATGAGCAGTCAGCAGGCTTGATGAGTAATGGATTACATTTAACGGGAGTACGTAATCAGGATACAAAAAAAGGGAACTGTATTCGAATACAATTACATTATAAAAATATTATTAAAAATTGAGATTAGCATTATTACAATACATTTAGAAATAGAGATAGATATATTATAGGTAAACGTACTGAATGGATTTTCTTTATGGTTTATATTTAGGCTACTTTAATTATTGTTCATTTTAAATACATTTTTCTTTTTAATGCGACTTTTTAAGTCGCTTTGGATAAAAGCGTCTCACAAATGACATGTAATGTAATGTAATGTAATGTAATGCAGCAGGTGGACACCTGATTTATTAAACAAAAATACAGTTTGCTTTTAATTCTGTATGAAGTTTAAACGGCATTTGTAAACTATTACTGTTATACTTTTGATATGAGATATATTGTTTTCTTCTTTTCTAAGGTTACATATACACTTAATTAAAAAACATCTTACATTGTCAAATTTTGTGACATGTAACTATTGTAATGAATGACATTTTTAAAGTAACCCTCCCAACCGTGGCAATCAGACACTAAGAGACAGGGTCTAGAAGCTGGAGATAGTGTTATTGTGGAAAAGCTTTGGCTGTAAAGAATGGACCAACAAAGAGTGTGACGCTGACACAGGAGACTTGTGTCTCTCCATGTCGAAGCTGCCAGTTCAGACATTATGGGAAATAAATATTTGGCTTTGGACATTAAACAAATGTTATGATTTAATATAAATTAGGGTTTCTTGACTACAGGCAACAGATCAGAAAATTAACTTTTGTCGTTACATTTTCACATTTCAGCAATTAACACTGTGAGGTAGGTATGTTATTTCCATTAGGAATTATTGCTAAATCTCTGATAGTTATTTACCCAGAGTATGCTCGATTTCTCACTAAAAATGAAAAAATAACAATAATAAAACGATTATTGTTATTATTAATATTAATAATTATAATCATATATTTATATATATATATATATATATATATATATAATAAAAAATGAAACATTTGTATTATAATTACCTGTGATAGCAGATGGATATATGTCTGAACAATAACTGTACTTATTCCATTCACATGAATTTGGGATCAGGTGCATTCAGTATGATGTAACTTCCTTCCGTACCCACGTCTGTGTTCACTCCGCACTCAGACTTGTTCATCAATGTGTGATGGGGTGAGAAGATTCCTTTAGCTAGCTAAATGGTCAATGTTGGACTGCTGTTATAGACCACTATAACTAACAACATGCACTTGAAATGTCAATTCTATTTAGATAAAAAATGAAGATGTTGTGGAATATCAAGTTTTGCCTGATTTGCTGCTTAGAAAAGTAAACATGTTATCAACCAGCTGGGAACTGGATCACTAGCACCAAAAACCTCAAATGACACTAAAGTGAAGATTCCATATTGCAGCTTTAAATCATTTTTTCTTCACTTCTGCAGTGAAATGAGGTGTCACTCAAAAGCCTCTCTGGGGGATAATTCCAATATCACAGAAAAAGTGTAAAACATATCAGAGGATAACACATGACCGTTTACACTGATCCCCAGGGTCTGGACCTTCTCGTTGTCTGTGCATAAAGGCTTATGTAATGGAGAGCTGCGTTTTTACCCTTTCTTTCAGCGCCCTCTTGTGGCCACTGCACCAGTTACAAGGCAAAATGCTCTGCTCAGCCTGGAAAACACCGAGTGACGTTTGGTAAGTGCACACACAAGACGTTTGTCATCACGTCAGATGGAGACTACAACATATAATTATAGGGACCACTTTTTAAAAGCCATATCTAATACAACAATTTTCCATTATGTAAAATGATATCCATGCTGACCATTATGCTTAGCCTACCTGCTGACAGTGGTGTAATGTAACTACGTACATTTACTAAAGCACTGTACTTAAAGGTGGGGTTGGTAATTCACTTCAGAAACACTTTTTGAAAAACACTATTTTTTTACATGATACTACTTTATACTTTTACTCCACTGCGTCTTGTTGTCAAATATTGTAATGTTTACACTGCTTAATTTTTTTAACATATTAAGTTTAATTTGCAGATTTAATTTAATAAACAAATATAAATCTACACATACATTATCATAATTTATAATAGGCTAAGCTACCCATTGTATAAAGTAATTCAAATAAACCCCACCTTTACCGGGTACAAAATTGATGTGATGAACACATTAATGACCCAATAATTTAAATAAAATAATAAAAAATATCTGGTACTTAAATGTGCCTTTCTGCATGAAAAGTACTTTTACTTTTGGTACTTAAAATATATTTTGATGCTAATAATGTTTTACTTTTACTTAAGTACTGTACACATTTGAATGCACTACTTTTATTTGTAACTGAATATTTGTACACTGTAGTATTGCTACTTTTACTTAAGTAAATAATCTGAGTACATGCTAATAAGGTATTACATAAATATGAGATAATAAGATCAGCTAAAGTTGGTAACATTACATAGACACAGAAAGGTATAATAAGTGGTACTTTAATACATCGAAAGCCATGGGAATTAAATGTATAAAAGATTTTACAGAACGATTCAATGAACCGTATATGACACACCTACGCTACAGTACATTCCTTTTGTATTTTCACTGACATGTTGCAACCATAGACTGCAGTGGCGGCTGGTGGTCTTTTATTTTGGTGGGGCTCTTGACGTACCGGAAGTGACCTACCGGAAGTGACCTACCGGGGGGGGTCCGGGGGGTTTACCCCCTCGGAAAAAAAATTCGAGAAATGACCCCTTAAATTATGACTTCTGGTGATGTTAGAGGGGGTGGGGAAAGGAGAAATCGAGGCTTAAAAATATGAGAAGACTGATCAATACCTCCATAATCTTCAGTGTGGAAAATATTATTTATCAACCTGAACATCTAATACTTTACCAGGAATTTGTATTCTCAGAACTGGTCCGCATTTTTCTTTCTTAAAACTGTTCATGTTTTATGAACCAACACCTCCACCAAGTGGCTTTACAGTGAACTACATGTGGGATATAAAATTAATAGCATATTTTCAGTAGCATTAATTATAAATATTTAAGTGGTTCAATACAAGTCACTACAGCATTTCAAACTGAACTGTGAATAAATGCAATTTAAAAAAAAATAACCACAGCACAAAATGTCATAAATTGTGTTTTTTCTTTGTTTCTCTGAGGATTATTTACAAACAGGCTTATTTACAGATAGCAATAACTCAGAAATGAAAAAGCTACATCGTCTAACACGAACAACCAGTTAGCATAATGATAATATATGTGTTATGTACAATGTAACTGGCAAGGCTAGAGCAAGAAAGAACATACAGTTTGCAAAAGGTTTAAATAACTTCAAGTATCTGTCTTCAGATTACGTGGAGGTTTTAGTCCGATGGGAAGCAGATTTTAAGCGACACCGAAGATAAACCAAAGATGTGGTGGAGCTGCAAACCGTGTAGTGTTGCTGGGACAGGAGCTATAACCGTTGGAAAATACATCACAGACAATGCAACAAACGTGGAGACAGAACAATCACTTCTGTGATAAATGCCCACTTATTAATAAACTTCTAACAACCATGGGAAACCTACTCTCTACATATAAAGTGATATCCAGCTTATTGGCCTATAGCACCTTTTTTACTGCTTTGAATAACGAAATGTGCAACAGGCAGAAAAAAGACAAAAGGAAACAAGAAACAACTGTTCCTCTGGGGAAAATGAGTCGAACGCAACAGGTTTCCAAACAGTACTCATGTTCCTGGACTTTGTGGTTGAACAAAACATTTTAGGTATCCAAAAGTAACTTCACAACATTCTGCATTAATTATGCATTAACATTAATTGTCTCTCTAATGAAACGCATTTTTTTAAGGGTCGGCCATCTGTGTTTGCTGCGAGAGCTTGTGTGTGTGTGTGTGTGTGTGTGTGTGTGTGTGTGTGTGTGTCTATTTGTAGAGGAATTTTGCCCTTCTCTCCTTCTGAGTGGCAAACCTCTCAATGACTCTGGTGTTGAAGACAGGAATGCTCCTAATGAGTTTTTTCTCAATTGACAGCATAGCCAGAGCATTCAGGCGATCCTGTGTCATGCTGTTCCTCAAGAAAGTCTTTATCCTTTTCAGAGTGGAAAAGCACCTCTCTGCCTCAGCCGTAGCCATGGGTGTGGTTACAAGAACCTTCAGAAGACTGACAGTCTCTGTGAATGTCTCCTGCAGATTATTGTCAAGGAAGAACTGGAGCAGAGTAACAGCACCACTGCAAGCCCTGAACTGGTCATTGTCATAGACGAGGGACAGTTCCGTCTTGAGCTTTGCCTTGTCCAGTAGAGGGTAGGCCTCCACAGTTGTTTCCAGCGCTGCTTCAGGGAATGTTCGGCTGTGCTGCTGGAACAGGTCTCCTTGCAGGAGGGTGGAGCTGATGAGGTGTTTGGTGAAGGAAAATCTCTCCTTTGCGTGACTCAGTATGGTATCACATACCTATGAAATAATGCACAATGAAAAAATCAAGACATAATAAATAACAGAATCACCTTTTCACATCTATCAGTCATAATGTCATTAGTGTCCCCTATAAGATGTGTAACAAACAAAGAGCTTTCTTGTGAATGGAACCTATCAGAATAACAGGACATCTATCTGAGCATCAACAGAACAATATTACTGTTTAAAATTAAGTCACTACAATATATACATTTAATGACTATGTTTACACTTCATTCATTTATTGTTGGGCCCTTTCTGTCCACTGTGGTTGCTTCTGGAAGCCTAAACCTTTTCTGATCTGTCTTGATCCCCTTTGAAATGTAGAGACTGTGGGACACTTTTTGCAGTTTAGGCCTTGTTAAGTGTATACAATTCAGAATGTAATAAGCAATAGGCCTTTCCATGTAGATATTTTAACTAGCCTACCTATTTATTTAATTTACAGAAAATGGGCTTTCTTGTGAAATGTATCATTATTGTGATATGAAATGACCTATATTATGAAAGGAGCTTTTAGTCATAGAACACGTTCCTATTACTGCTTACCTCTCTAGCCAACAGCTGTTGCTCTTCATGTCCAAGTCCCCTCAGTTTCTTTGTGGGCAGCTGCTGAGATCCACTGCTTTCACCAGAAGGAATGGAGTCCCTGATCCAAACCACAAGTAACCATGTACAATTACTCATTGTGGCAAGAATTGACAAATTAACTTGACTACAGATGGAGCCTCTTATTTTGGACCCCAGCATACAGCTTCCTGCCGACTGCCAGCCAGTTGCCAGCCAGTTGCCTGCCAAAGACCAGTATTCAGGAATGTTAGGCCCTCCCACTATTCTCCAATTTCAGGGTTTAACCAGGAGATGGCGCTATATATTAAATAACTAAGACTTAGTTTTTCACAATAGAAAATGCAGATATTATATAAAAAACTAAAGTTAAAATCTTGTTTTTAATGCCCCAAGAGCAATAACATCTTGTCACAAGCTTTTTGGAAGAAAAAGACTGACTCAAGAGACCTGTAGTTGACTAATTACAGGCCTCAATAAAGTTCTGCCATTGGTTGTGAAAAACAACGGTGGACATAGTGGAAAGTGAAATTGACATTGTCGAATTTAATAAAAATACAAAATAATGTATCTGTGTACGTGTTTTACTATGTGATCTGCACTTATCAAACATCTAATTAAGGCGAGACACCCCAGGTGAATAGGGTATTTTTAACTTAAAGATATCAGCTAAATATTTCTCCAGTTAATTACTTACAATAAGGCAATTGTTTTTTGTATTACAAGTTTTCTGAAATAGCATGTTTAAATATCCAAATGAACCATTATCTCATGAAATATGCGCATATTTTAACACATTTCAGGAACCGAAATCTGAACTTTGGATAAAGCCAGGATCAAAATTATTGTTTCATTTTGTAGTCATATTAGTATCTAAGGCTTTTACAGAAGGGATTTTGGATATCTCTTTGTATCACTCCATAAATCAGAAAATACTGTCAACAGCCCTAAAATATCAATTTTCACCATGTTTTTAGGTATAAAATGTTATATAATTCAGGCTATGAATTATATATGACCAAACCCTTCTGTAAAAGCCTTCATAATATTGATAGGAATATAACTGGAAGGTTTGGTGTATGTAACTGCTGAGTGATTCTACAATTTAGGGTACATTCCATGTCCATTGATGTCCATTGATGATAATTATAATTATTCTAACTATTTTCTTCAAAAATATCATATTTTGCCTATTATTGGAAAGCATGTTATAATATCACACAAACATTATGTGCATCCTATGCTTTATTTAGCTTGAAATGTGTCATGATGTTCTTAAATTGTCAGTTTTTGCTATGTCCGTTTTTCAGTTGAGGGTGTCTTGGATTCAAAATAATGAATAAAAACCATTAAAGTCAATTTAAAAAATGATTCATTTATTTCAAAAGTCTAAATACTAAAGAATAATAACATATTTTTAATTGATTTCCCCCTTTAAATAATTTAAATATCTTAATATATGAATGTCCGCAAAAGTTCTGTCAACTATGTTACTAACAGAACTTCCCCCTTTAACTCAAAAATTGTTTGTCCCAATACCATGTCACCAGCATCACATGATGCCATGTTCCTCTTTGGCAGACATTTTGAACACACTGTGGTGATTGTCCTCTACATTTTTACAATATTTTATGTATAATAGCACATGGTCAATTAATATACTCATTGACAATCAACAATGTTACGTACATTGTTATGGTTTACAATTGTTTAATGATTTTAATTCAATTATATGTGCAAATGTGATGTTAACCTGTTCAAGAAAATGACATGTGGTCATCCAGGCAAGGCCTACCATTGAAATGATGGGTCAAAATAGGGAAATTGTCAACTAGGTTACCTGTCAACTGAGTTACCCAGTACTGTAATAACTGTAGTAACTTAGTTGACAGGTAACCTAGTTGACAATTTGTACGACATGTAGACGTCATTACACATCATTATCAATGGAATTTTGCACTTCTGCCTTGAAATTAACATAGTGCTGATGGTTAATAATGTGTCCAGTCAACTATGTTATTTGCGTCAAATGTTTGACTTTCATTGTCAACTATGTTGCACCTCATTTTTTCAAATTTAAAATATCTAAAATAGTGCTTCTGATATCCTTTATAGTATAATGTATATCTACACAGGTTGGAGTTTTACATGACATCTCTTAAAACTATCAAAATGACCTGTATGGTAGTTTTATAATACAAAATATCCCTAAACTTAATGACAGTGCTGAACATATCACATGAAAAAACAAAACTTTAATACAATTATTTTTTAAACTTTAAAAAATCTTTGGATATATGGTAGAATAGACTCAAGAGCCTTTCAAATTTGATTTTACTTGAAGTGCAGGACTTAATCAAATGATTGTAATGACATCAAGTTTGTCCGTAACATAGTTGACAAACTGAGTAGTGAAAACATCCTTTCCCTTAAAATAAAAAAATATATAAAAATGTTTAAGCTTTGCAACTAGTGGATATGTTACACTGAGGAATATACTAACTTGAACCACTGATTGTTCTATCTATACATTTTATTTGGCATTAGTAAATAATTATGCACATTTACAGATATTTTACATGATATGAGTGATAACACGTGTTATAAGGGCTATTTCGCACAATAGGTGTGCCTTGAGATTTTTACTTGTCCTTTGGTGTGCCTTGGGCACAAAAAGTTTGGGAACCACTGCTGTAGAGAAATGTAAACGTTCACCATCCCCCACCCGCCTACTGTATGTTGCTTTTTGACATGTAAATGGGTAACTACCCCCCTCTGAGTGAATACCTGTTGTACCTGTCCGGGGCTAAGCCCATAGGACGATGCTCTGATGTCATCACCCTCGCACATTGGTCATATGTTTACAAAAAACGATGTTAACACTTTCTCGTTCTTAATATATGCTATATTTAGGGTCGATATGTGTTGAATTTACTTTAAAATAGCAGATCACTGTGATTCACTTCTCCGCGGCTCCTCCGTGCAGAGAGGGCCCCCCCCCCCCCCCCCCGTTGACAATTCACGAGCGTCTAACTCTCTCCCCCCTGTGAAGAGATATCACAGGGGGGGGTTGGGACACACACATTCCGATGGCCAATTCGTTTTAAACAAAGAGTGGGGTGGGGGCTGGTGAACGGTATGGTCAATGTTTGTAAACACTGTGACATTTTGACTTTATTTGATCATTTCAGTTAAAAACTAACGTTCATATTTCATATTACTGTTTTGCCTGGCTGGACCTGTAATTTACAGGAAAGGAGTGCACGCTACTAAAGAGACACGCTACCATGGAAACCAAACAATGGTGTTGCTGTATTGAAGTCCGAGTGGAAACAGTCATATTTGGAGCGTTATGTTAGAATGAAACAGCGAGGTCGTGACTCACAAAAAAAAAGTGTTACTTCACTAACTGTAAGCTTGTCACTCAGAGTAACCTACAGTTAACTTAACTGTTGGAAAAGAAAGATCAGAGTTAGGAGTGTGAACACACAGCTGAGAGCTGCCGTTTCATTCTGACTGTTTAAAAAACGGTAACAACGGACTATTTTTCTTAGCGGATGCATGTAAATTTAAATCAATACATAGAACTATGTTTTAAATCAATAAAAATATTTTCTAAATCCATAAAAGCATTTAAATTAATATTGGGAGTCATGTCGTTACTTTGTTGAGAATGTGGCCATGTAATAAGCGGGATAATTTGCAGCGACTTGGTCATTATGGGGAAAAATAACACCCAGGGATCAAGATCCCTCCGCGACGCGGAGGGATCAGTAATTTTTAGTGAATTACTGAGTTTAGGCACGTTAATAACATTTTAATGAAGTTGAATACAGTATATTCATATTTGTCAGTGATTTCATGTCAATTCGGCGAACATAAACGATTAAATTAGGATTAAAAATCGAGAGCCGGCTGCTGTTCGTTACGGTAACCCAACTAGGACACTTGACACAGTGGCTTTTGGCAAAGCACACAAAGAAAACAAAAAAAACCGAGAGAGATGAGTTATTGTTATTACAACGTGACTTCACTATTATTTAACAACTATTTTTATTGGGTTCTTTTATTTGGGGTTAAGTACATTGTCAGAATAAGTGAGAAATGGATTTAACTTCTGTTAGACAGCTATCATACTGAATAAATATTTATGCAAAAATGTATGGCATTAATAATGTATATCTAATTACATTTAAAAATGTATGGCATTAATAATGTATATCTAATTACATTAACTGTGAATGTCTTTCATTTATTTAAAATGAAATAAAATTACATAAAACATTTTCCATAAAAAAGTTGATTCAAGAACAAATCAGTACTTTTCTTATATGACTATTATTGCTAAATTTGAAAGGTCTTTACCAGCTTTGGAATTATATATATATATATATATATATAGCACCTTCTGCCATCCCATCTCTACTGACATATGGATCTTAACAAAGATCCGCTATACATTAGTACCAGATATACTGTACACGGACATTTTAGTGAACCAGACCAGCTGTTTCCGCCGGGTCTTCGCTTCCCGGGCATCACGTTGTTTACAAGTGTGTTCAGATGCTAAATGACAAGTGCAAGTGACAATTGTTGTCGTCTTCTCTGTGAACGTTTTTTTCTCCGTTATTTTGCCATTTTCAGATTTAAATTTCGAGCGGAAAGCTAACCAGGAAGTAATAATTACTTAAGCGGAGAACGGAGAAAGTAAACGTTACAGCAGGCATAACAACAGCCCGTGTTTATTTTATTATAATATATATCATTTGTTTTAAAGCTCAATATATAGTTTTATTATAATATATAGTCGTTATTCATTTGTTATAAAGCTATACTGTACACGGACATTTTAGTGAACCAGACCAGCTGTTTCCGCCGGGTCTTCGCTTCCCGGGCATCACGTTGTTTACAAGTGTGTTCAGATGCTAAATAAAAGTTTAGCTTGTACTTTTGATACCCCGCCTCTCGGCACCACAACATCCAGTTTACTGTATTTCACATGAGCGATGTCGAACATTGAAAAGTCCTTATAAAATCTCTGTTATTAGATCAGTACTTTTCTTATATGACTATTATTGACTTGAACACTGAGAATGTATTTATTAACTTCAGACATTTGAAATATTTGAAATCAGATGAAAACAAACTGTAACGGACCCTGCCGTGTTATCTATGATTACTATGCCTTACTGTACATTCATAATTTCAGCCGGAGGTAGGTGGTAGGCGTTGCGGAGGAGCAGATTGCGAGTGAGGTGCCTGTTCTAAACAAACTATTCCAGCTGTTATAAAGCATTAAATAAAAAGTAAGCAAGGAATACAGAATGTTTCGTTACGTAACTTTGTTGAGAATGTGGCCATGTACATGTAATACATGGGATCATTTGCAGCGACTTGGTCATTGTGGGGAAAAATAACACCCATCCTGATCGTTTCAATGAAGTTGAATACAGAATATTCATATTTGTCAGTGATTTCATGTCAATTCGGCGAACATAAACATCAATGATGATGATTAAATTAGGATTAAAAATCGGGAGAGCCGGCTCGTTCGTTTTTTCCGACTAAACAACATCTATTATTTAGAAGTTGATTTCACATGACTCCAGTGTGGAACCCCACTGCACCCCCTGGTGGATCAATGATCCATTGCAGCTGGCTTCACAATAATTAAATGTATTTATCATGGGGGCGGTATCAAGTCTGACTGGGGGCCGGCCGGCCATCACGGAACGTGCACAAACCGATCACGACCCTCGCATTTTAAACTGTCCAAAATAAGACGCTTCATCTGTATTTGAAATAGTAGTCAGAGATACACCTTATAAACGTTATATAATATATACATTTCCAGTAAGCCTGTTTAAGATATTTAAACAAGTATGTGTGAGTTGGTCTATTGTGTTCAGCTAAATCACATTTAGGTTTCACAGATTTCCTATAATAAGCACATCTCAGCCATTGTAAATAATGATTTACCTGATTGTTTGTATGCTGCTGGTGAACCTCTTGATGAGTCCTGTGATGTAGACAGAGTCGATGTTCCTCTTCTGCAGTTGGCTAAACAGCATGTCTACATGTGGCATGATCTTGTGGAACAATGTCAGGAAAAAGCAAAAAACTTCATCTTCCATCATTCGCACAAAGCCCCCGGCTTCTCTCACTGTTATGGGATCAAAGTCACCTGAGTCTCTGATCGTCTGGAAACACCTCAGGATGTTCTCCTTGTGCTCATATACAGTGTTAACAGCACGACTGTGAAAGTTCCATCTTGTTGTGGAAGTGCCAGGAAGTCTGTGTGCCACCACTTGATCCAGGATCGCAGTTCGCTTGAATGACCTGGAGAAAAATGCAGCAAATCCACCAAGGTCTGAAAAAATGTTCTTATCTTGGGGATGTGGGATGTTGCCTGCTGCATAATTAGGTTCAGCTGATGCGCATAGCAGTGGATGTAGTGCGCACTACTGTACACATCCTTCACTTTCCGCTGAACTCCACCTTTAGCTCCCCTCATCACCGCTGCACCGTCATAGGCTTGGGCGATTAGTTTGCCCTGTTGTCCATCGGGGAGGATAGTGCCCAGCCTCTCCATCAGCGCGGTGGCAACTGTGTCAGCATTCGCATTCTGAAGAGGAATGAACTCAAAAAAAACGCTCCTGGACGTTGTTATGCGGGTCGATGTAGCGTAGCACAAGCACTAACTGGCAGTGGGTGGAAATGTCAGTTGTCTCATCCGCCTGAATAGCTAAATAACTGGCATTTTTTACTTCCTCCAGAATGTAGTCTTTACAAAACTGATAACATGCAGTCCAAAAGTTCATTTTGCACCGTCTTTGAGGTGCCTTTGAAAACCGTAGCCGTTTTAAGGTGATCCTCCAACACGCTATCTAACGAGGCCAGTAGATTAACTAAACCCAGAAAAACGCCGGGGTTGTCGGATGTGTCAGCCTCGTCGTGGCCACGCAAAGCCAGGTCAAAGCCCCCACAAAATTTCACACAATCAATTATTTTAGACAAGACGTGCCTATTCTTGTCCACTTCTTCATTGTGCTTTTTCACCCGAGATCTTGTACCCTTGATCTAGCTGTGCGGCTATGTTAGCTTTGCCTAGCATGGCTAGTTTAAAGGTGTTTGTCATGTGTGCCTTAGTGCACTCGTGCTTTTTAATTTTGTTGGACAAATGCTTCATATCGTTTACTCCTATCACAGTCCACGGGCACATTGTATCTGTCCCCGGCTGTTTGAAGAGCAAGCATGGGAAACAAAAGACAGCATTTACCTGTTTGCATCCAGCTAGCCAAGCCTTTCTTGTGTACCAGCTACTTGTGAAGCCTCGTGTATAAATTTTGTCTTTTTCACGAGATTGCTGCGATATATTCAAATCGGGTTGGTCCGGTCCAAGGTCTTTAAGCAACAATTTATCTGCCAAACTTCTCCTTTCGAAAGGATTGGAGATTAGCTCTTGAACAGAATTAGGCGGGGACCGAGGTCCGGAGACTCCACCTGCACACGAAGCCATCCTCATCAACTACTTGCGTCAAACCGGATACGAGTCACTGTCCAAACTACTCACAGGACTGCACTGGGCGCTGACATTGGCGCCCGGGTGACCGTCATCTTTGACGACGCTGATTGGCTGAAATTATATTTTCGCGGCATAGTTTACACGTTACAGATAGCAACAGTCAGCTGCTAGTGGCTGCTGCTGCACTGGTTGAAGGCTCCTCTCTTAGCGCCCAGACGAGAGAAGGTGCATGGGCAAGGCCAGGCAGGAAACATGTGACTTATCAGTAACTTTAGACAATCGTAACACAATTTTAAAACGAGATTTTATTGTAGATTATACATTTTACTGATACCAATTATATAATATTACCTTGTTCATTAAAAAATAAAAATAAAAATATATATATTTTTTAAACATATATATTTTTTTAATTTTAATTTTAATTTTTTTTTAATTTTTTTTTTCAATATGGGAAGAGGTGGGGCGGCGCCCCTAGCGCCCCTATGGACCGGCCGCCACTGATAGACTGTATATATAAAGGTTGCAACAGGTATTTAAGACTTTTACATTGAAGGCGCGACAGGAAGTAGATGTGTCTTCAGTGTATTCAGACGTCACTGTGGGCACACTATTGACAGCACGAACATTTCGCTTTTCTTCTTGGACATTGAAACGACTGTCAGCAGCGGTGGTGTCGGTGAGTGTTAACTGAAGACTCAATGTCATGGAGGGGATGTTAGTTCATGTGTTATCTATAAGTTAACAGTACTGTTTATAAGAGTTAAACAAAAACAGAAATGCCACTCAGCCTGCCAGTGCTCTGTAAATGCGGATCAACCTGTATTTACTATGACTAGGAGAACAACTGTAAGCTAATACAGCAACTAAGTTAGCATTGAACTTCCTCAGAAGATAAGCGCTAATGTAAAGTGTATTACTAATAATACGTTGTGTTTCCCTTTATGTTAGAATTAAGTTAAGTTCACTTTTTGTTGATCAGTTATGCCAGCCTAAACTCTGTTAAAAAAAAAAAAGTCCATAGCCAGTATTTGGGACATTATTATGATATACAGTGGTGTCATCATATTTACCGAAGTATTGCACTTTAGTAATGTTTTGACATACTTATTTGAGTATATCAATTTAATGCTATTTCAAACTTTTCAGACTACATTTCAGAGGTGATTGTTTTACTATTTACTCCATTACATTTATTTAACACTCAGTTACTACGTAGTTACTTTGTACATGTCAAACACATGATATGATGATATGGTAAAATGCAGTACTGTAATTCAAACTATATCTAAATATCTACATTTGTATTTTGAAATAAGCCATAGTTCAGATAGAGTACTTCTACTTTTTGTACTTGAAGTATATTTCAATGCTAATAATGTACTGTACTTTTACTTAAGTAAAGTACTTCTTCCAACACTGCTAGTACTAGTACTCATGAGCCTCATGTGATTGTCTACATTGCGTGAGCTTAAATAAACTACATTTTAAGCTTTAAAAAAAAGAATGGAAAGATTATTTTTGAATACATAAAAACAGAATAATATAACATTATCTTATAATGAAATACTTTAAGAGAGCCATTCTGCATAAAGGGTACTTTTATGTTGATACTTTCAGTACATTTGGTTGATAATACTTCTGCACTTGATGTTACTGGCCATTATGCAAAATTAGTTATTTACTTTTGTGTTTTGAGTACATTTTGATCCTGATACTTTGTATTTTTACTCAGTAAAAGTCTGAATTCCGGATTCTTACTTGTAATGGAGTATTTAAAAACCTTAGTATTTTTATTTTGCTGATGAAAGGATCAGAGTACTTTATCCACCTCTGCCTGTTTACCATGTAAGTGAGTTGTTCACACCTGATCTAAGGATCCCTGTGCTCTGTTCTCCACAGTAACCATGCCGTGTACGGAGGCTGAGACACACACACTGCCCGGGCCTTTGTGAGGAAAGGATGGACTGCCTGCCTCTAGTTCTTTATCTCATGTCACTTCTTGATTCTGGTAAGTAAACCAAGATCAATCAGATGAGTTAATTTACGTAAACATTTGTCAAATACCTCAGATTCTGTTCTCCTCTACACTGCTCACTGTTATCAGATCTGACGAGTCCTTAATGTGTCCTGCCGGGTGTGTCTTTGTACCTTGTGCTGCTTCGTAGCTCTGACTCCATCATGTACTTCCTGTTAACACAGTTATCAGCTCCCTTCCTGCTCCGGTCAATCTTTCTATGGAATCTGTCAACTTCCGCCATATCTTGAGTTGGGATCCTGGACCCGGCACCCCACAAGGAACACATTACAAAATCATCAAGAGGTATTTCCCCGCCCGCTGTCTTATTGGCTGCTCTTATGTCCTACAGCACATGGCCTGATGGCAGTTTGGTCTTTGGGTAGGAGCAAGGTGTTAGTTACCAGCCAGCAGACAAATTATTGTTGTTTTGTTTTTAGCGCTTAAGTAATGCAAATCTTCTTGCTTTTTGCAAATGTACCATCATTTGGCTTGTAAATGGAGCTATTATTGTACCCTGGGTAGGAGAATACGTCCCATCAGACTGTATTCTAAAAATCGTACTCATACGAGCGCCAGTATGTCCTTGGGCCGGGTATCTAACCACAACCTTTTTTCTTTGGTAGTGTTGTACGCTTTCCAGCACCACATGAAACCACATGTATACGCAAGCAACGGAAAGCAACTCGAACTTTGCCTGCATTGAAGAAAGCAGTCAGGTAGTGACCTGACTGCTTTCTTCAATGCAGGCAAAGTTCGAGTTGCTTTCCGTTGCTTGCGTATACATGTGGTTTCTTTTTTCTTTTTTTTTAAACGCGTCTTTTTTATCAATTTGGGAAATCGTTTACAATGACAAATTATTTCAATATTCTAATTAACTATCAAAATACATATCAATATCAGTAATACATATCAGCATACCATACAGCTTGAAGATGGGGAAAAAACAGGGGTGCAGCATCTTAGTTTCACCCTCTGGGAAACCCCACAGCATACTTCTGTTAAGCCAATTACAGGACACGTTGTTTTTTGCTTTCAAGAAACAAAAGTGAATTATTTATACTTATTTCCAAAAAGGAGCTTCATTTTTCCTTTCTTTTCCATACTTTACTTTAGATTCATCAAATCTGTATTATGCTCAAACCAAGAAAAGAAGTATACAGCTGTGTGTCATTTGCAGTTACCTTAAAACTTCATTATTTTTGAGTTATGTCCTGTTGAAGATCACTTTTCCTGGATTTCGAGGTTATCAAATCATTCAGTATTGGACCTGTCATATAAACAGATCATCTAGCATTTGGAATAATGATCTCCCTCCTTCAAACTTCATCTAACTGTCATCATATCTGCAAGAAAACATGTTTTTAATATTCCTTTGAATTGCCTTTGTAATAAGCCAGTCATAATCAGTATGCACATGTGGTGTAGATGGTATGTGGGGCGGATGTGGTTCTCTCAGTATCAGTGGCATGAAGAAAGGTCTTTGTAAAAGACACTGAACCCTAAACTGCTCCTGAGGGCTGTGATTGTGTGTTTGAATGTTCATCAATCCCGATGAGCACCTCGCTCACCAAGATAACATAACTAATAGAATATTTGTAATTAATGTATAAAGTGACAGCTTGCATATAGGAGTTGTGATTCAAGGAAAACTATCATTTGTTACAACTTGACTTTTATTGTCACCACTCATAGCATCTGTTCTATGGTTATGATCATAATCATCATTTACTCACTGTTTATGGATGAGGATCTAGAAATGTGGTAGTATCACTGAACATCAATCCAGCTCAAGCTGACAGACAGCATTTGATGGAAGATGTAAGCAGGCAGTACAATTATTAACCAAGCTGTTAAAGACATGCCTTACATACCACTGTGCTCTGGTGCTATATGAGATTATGAGCAGCAATTTATGAACATGTGTGTACTTTGGTCCTCTGGTAATGTTAACCTACCAGATGTAACTGATTGAGGATTGTAGGAAAAAGCCAAGTTAAGCTTGACAGTTGTTTCCACTCAAAGTCAACTTCACTTCCTTAAAGAGTTCAGAATAATGGAAAGTTTGATCAATTCCATGACAACTGACCAAAGTTGACTCTTGTTGATTGGAAAGCTCTCGGACAGAGTTAAGCGGGCACTGGTTTGAGAATTCTTTAGTGTAAACCCAAGTTGTTACATAATCAGATTTTTCCTTTAAAGAAAAACATGTCCTTGGATGTATAACATTTTCTCAGTCAGGACACATCCTGGGGACAGCTTCTCTACCTTCAGCTTAGACACAGACGAGAGACAACAGGAAATGAAAGGAAACAGAGATGGGGGGACTGACATGCGACAAAGGTCCCCAGTAGGGCCAAGGATGTTGTGGTTAATATGTTAGAACTATACACCCGCAGGCTGCCAGCCTTTGTATCGGTAGTGAAACACAGTGGGGAATTACAGAGAGCTACTTTCTGCAAATCAAACCTTTACAGCGGCTTTGGTGTCAGTATGCATAATCTATGTTCAATTCAGCCGAATGGAAACTAAATCTTGCATGTAGTGCACACAAGACAATAGGTCCTTTACTCTTGATGTCAGACTGCAGTTCTATAGACCAGTGTTCTTAGGCTTTTGGATTTGTGACCCCCACCCCAGAAAAATCAGGTGTTTTTGACTTTGCGCAGTTAGCACCTAGCCGATGTCCGATGTGCTCCACGCACTGTGGCTGTTTGATGCATTCTTTGAAACTCAGACACTCAAATTCATTAAATGTACTCCAGGAAAATGATATCCCTTGTGATGTCAAAACGATCCTTCAGATGTATGTTATTTTATTATTTAATTTTGACCACCATAAACATCTGGTGACTCCCAGAAACTATGCCCAGGTTGCCCAAACTACTGCTATCAGTCACCAAATATTTAGTGAATATAGTTCGATAATCTTTTGTCACGTCATATCAGCCTTTTCAGTTTTATCAGCCTCCCTGAACAACCGCGAGTGAAAACCGCAACCTTTTCATTTGGTCATGTTTTCACTCTGTCTGTAAATCTGAGGCGCCTTCTTTGATGAGATGGGTGGGTGGAACTTTTTAACTCTTTAACCTCTGCTTTTGTGGACCGTGAATGACGGTCAGAGCGCTGTTTGTTTCCATCTGTTGTTGTATCTAGAGTGTGCAAAGCAGCTGTGGCCACAGAGGGGCCCGCTGATTGTTTTTAAGGAACTGATGATTCTCCTATAAAAAGCTTTGGGAAGCAGTGTTTGTGTGTGTCAAGTTTCACATGATCTCATCTTTGGTTTTGACAGTCATTGTGAAGGTTCATATTACACATGATTGTATTTGCTTTGACAGAACTGAATACACATGGTTTATTTCAATGCTGTATTGAACTTACAACCGTTTAAATGCTCATGTGTTATGGTAATCTTAGCAAGCCATTCGTATTATTTCTTCACTATGTTACTAAATTGTAAAGGAGAAATGTTCTTACCAAACCCTTTGGAACAAAGAAAACCAACAAAGATGATCCTACTAACAGTATTGTGTGTGAATATGAAGCACAATCTACTTCCTCTGTGCCATAGGTCATCATTGTTGACCAGGAACTATTTAGACAAGTGCGGTCAATAGGTTTAAAAAATGTATCGTACTAATCACAATAACAATCGGTGATTAATCACAAGTGTAATAATAGTCATTACTTGTATTTTGTATGTTTCTCTTTCTACAGGGTGGAGAACAAAGCAAGTAAAAAGACACCGTCCTCAAAGACTACATCCGTTAAGCTGAAGCTTCAGAACGAAGTCGTATATGAGCTGACTGTCCAGGCGTCTTACAACCAAACCCTGTCTGCAGAGTCCAAACCATACACCTTCGAACCTTTCACACAAAGTACGTCACATGAGCATCTTTTTACCTGCATGCTTTTTACCTTGGATTTATTGAATGAAATAATACATTGGTTGCTATGAGATAAGGCTAAGGGTTCATTCACACCTGTACCGTTCATTTGGTCCAGACCAGGGGAAAAGAGAGACATAGCTGCGTTTTAGTTCTGATCCGATTCCCGTTCACACTGACTTTTTACACAAACTATGCAGAGTACACATGAAGTTTTACGCATGACAGGAAACATGTTGATTGGACTTCTTTACACTTTAAAAGTCCGGGACCCACCTTTTGAGGTCGAGCCTGGCTGTTTGGTCAGCACCAGGGTTCAATCCAGAGCTTTCACCCCAGCCCAAATGATCTGCGCCAGTGGTGGAAAAGTATTCAGATTCTTTACTTGAGTAAAAGTACAAATACCACACAGTAAAAATACTCAATTTCAAGTGAAAGCACTGCAAAAATGATGTGATTTATGTGAAAGTATTTAAATACAATTTGGAAAAATGTACTTAAAGGTGGGGCAGATAATTTTGGAGAAACCAGCTCGAGATCGCTAGAATTTGAAAATACACAGCCGGAAAAAATCTGCCACTTCCTTACAGAGCCCCTCCTCCAACACACACGAACGCGCACATGACCAATGAGGGCACGAGATAAGTTTGTGCACAGATGGAAGGCTGACAGGCAGGTAGGCCATCCAGTTATTTTAGCCGGGCCGGCTCAGATGATTGGTCGTGCTTTTTACAGTATTAAGGCTTCCACAGATGACATTTTCTTAATGTATTTATTGTCAAAGCACTTAAGATATTCATTGCTATCGGGATGTTAAGAGCATTCCATGGAATATAACAAAAAGTGTTTCTGAAATAAATTACATACCTCACCTTTAAATACAATGTTGGATGGTTACATTTATACCAAATAATCATATTCTAAAAGATTTTTCTATTGTGATTCAAAATCTGAATTTATAAAGTAACTAGTAAATAAATCTGTAAAATAAATGAAGTGGAATAAAAAATAAAAAATTGGCTTCCAAAATGTAGTAAAGTAGTACAAAGTAGCATACAATGAAAATAGCTGGTAAAGTACCTCAAATGCGTACTCAAGTACAGCACTTGAGTACATTTACAAAGTAACTTTCCACCACTGGTTTAAAGCCATCCAAATATGTCGGGTTCAAAAGCACGCTGAGTCCTATTGACTCTACCAGGGCGGCAAATATTATGGCGCATTTCCACTACACGGTCGGCCTCGGCCACACTCGGTACGGCTCGGTACGGCTTGGCCGCGTTGGGCCTTAACAGGGCCGACTCACTTCATGCTGCGCTTCCATTACAGTTTAGGAACTGGGGTAGTTACTATAGTAACGCAGTGTAGGCGGAGCCGTGACGTCATCTTCATTGAGAACTCCAGAAACACAACACAGCCGTTAGCTGTTAGCACTCAGAGCTCACAGCTCCTTATATATGTTCAGAAACTCGACAAAAGTTAAACAAGTACACACCACAGACTGCCTGTGTCATGGTGAATACAGTCGCTGCTTTATTTATGTCTGTATAGGCCGTTGTTGTGAGTGTGGACGGTCGGAACATATACTGCGTTAGCTTAGCCAATCTCCATCTAGAAAAACAAGCATTTTAAAAGGTTTTTCGCCTGCCGTCTGTCTGCAGACTTGTCAAAGCATTAATTCATGGTTTTTACTAACCGGTATCAGTATGTTGTTACTTCGGCATCATTTTGAAACGTGTATTACAATTAAATCACGGTCAAATATGTCCATCTTGTTGTAGTTCTAGCCCTCTTGCCAGTGCTCCTCTCTCTAGTTTAGCATACTCAGCCCGACTCAGCCCTGTTTGTTGGCCCCGATAGAACCACAATTTTCTAGGGCCAGAAAAGAGGTGAAAAAGTGGCCCCGCGCCGTGCCGCGCCGGAACTAGGCCTAGTGGAAGCACAACCAAAAAAGGGGACGGCACGACACGGCACGCTTAAAGCGAGCTCCGCGCTGCAGTGGAACTGCGCCATTACATTACTGTAGGTTAGTTAGAGAAAGTATACATTAGTTAACAACTTTTCTCCTACAACCTTTAGTCCATTAAGAGATCTTGAGCTTAAACTTTCACTCAAGTAGCGGAGGAAATCTGTGTTTCCGTTAGCTGGTATTTACAGGACTTTGATCGTTTATTGTACGGTGAAAATAATTCCCCCTGAACACATTTTGAAGTGTAATTCAAATGAGCTGAAAAGACGAGTCAGCCCCAGCCCCTGTAATCATTGCCACAAGCAGCATGATGCTACATTGTTTAAGGAGGGTTGAATCTATTTTGAGTGGCCAAACTGGTGGTGGTCTCCGTCTCCAGTTTCACTTTCTATATGAGTAGGACCAAAGTGGAGGGAAATTCTTTGTGTGAACAGCAACGGTGTAGGCTTGTGTGTTTTTTGTTATTTTGCATCATGCAATCAACAGGACTTGTTTAAAAAAAGAATAGCCTACTTTTTAATCTAATAAAAACCTACATGCCTTGATGATGTCATTCATTGCATAGCCTTCCTATCAATTGTTTTTAAGCCTAATGAGATGCTGGAGGAAATGTTTTAACATTGATGGGATGTCTTCTCATGAAATTCCTACAGACTTTGGAGATCCTCTGAGACACCAACACACACTTCTGTAACTGATGATTGAGAGGGATTCTTTTTGTCTTTCATATTTGTATTTTCTTTCTTCTTGTGACAAGCTAAAATAGGTCCTACAAATGTCTCACTACTTGGATGTGGCAACTGCATCCAGATCAACATTTCCTTCCCTGAAGCTGACAGGAGTGCAAAACTTAAGAGTATGAAGACATATTATGGCGCTCGCTTCGTAGTGTCTTGGTGGAAAACGGAAGAAGAAGGGGTAAGACATCCATATCTCACTTTATGTCATACTATGTATTTCTTTGAATGATTGTAAAATGTTCTATATCTCGCACACAGAAAACCCAACCTCCCACATGTCGCCCACCTTTATTGCACCTTAATAAAGGACCTAATTGTAATCAAGTTAATTCTCCATATTTAGATGAAGTGGTCCACGGACACAAGAGAAACGAGTATTACTCTGACCAACCTACAGAATGGTACAGAGTACTGTGTACAGGTGGAAACAAAGATCAATACGAATAAAAACACAGAGCCATCTGCTTTGAAGTGCATCTTCACCGGCATTGTGGAACCAAGTAGAGGTGAGCTGAAATGTCAGAGCTGATGTTGTGATGTGTTAACATGTTATTAACGAGATGCTGGCCAGGGGTTCCTGACCCAACACACATGTAACCAAAGCTCAAAAGTTATTCTTTATAACATTTATTTGATTGTATAAACCCTCTTTAAGTCCACCAATTGCAGGCTACCCACTTGAGCAAGTTCTAATCTGCTTAGATCACAATCTCAAATAGAAGAAGAAGAAGAAGAAGAAGGCATACTTTATTGAACCCTCCGTTGACAATCTGTTGCGTAAACCAAGCCCCTACGGATTGAGCATAACAATAGAGCCCTATACAGGGGCGGACTGGTGTCTTATCCGACCGGCCCACTTCGGTACCGGCTCATCGGGATTCGTCCCAAACGTCCCAATGGCCAGTCCGCCCCTGGCCCTATATCTGTGTCTACCTTTGTAACATGTTACACTTCAATGTATGTGTGTGTGTGTGTGTGTGTGTGTGTGTGTGTGTGTGTGTGTGTGTGTGTGTGTGTGTGTGTGTGTGTGTGTGTGTGTGTGTGTGTGTGTGTGTGTGTGTGTGTGTGTGTGTGTGTGTGTGTGTGTGTGTGTGTGTGTGTGTGTGTGTGTGTGTGTGTGTGTGTGTGTGTGTGTGTGTGTGTGTGTGTGTGTGTGTGTGTGTGTGTGTGTGTGTGTGTGTGTGTGTGTGTGTGTGTGTGTGTGTGTGTGTGTGTGTGTGTGTGTGTGTGTGTGTGTGTGTGTGTGTGTGTGTGTGTGTGTGTGTGTGTGTGTGTGTGTGTTCAGAACCTATCATTGTAGGTACAGTTGCTGCCCTTCTGATTGGTATTGGTGTTGTGATGACCTCCATGTTTGGCCTCTGCTACACTGGATTCCTCTGTAAACTGAAGCCAACTCTACCTCGAGCACTTATTGTAAGAAATATATATATATATCCGTCTGTCTATCTGTCCGTCAATCCATCCATCCCATTCAAGTTCTTTATTTTCATTATTCCCCCCTACACTTTTAACAACAGGTCGAAACATGCTTCTAAGTAGGCAAATTAACCCTTAAAGGAACAATGACAAGTATTTATTGGAAAGTGAAGTTGCAGATGCTTTTCTCCAGGGAAAATGTCTCCACCCTTTTCTTGCTTGGGCATTAGTTTGATAAACCCTTCATCTGCCAAATGTTTTATGAAGCAAACCACTTCAATCCTTAGTTTCACATTTGATATAAAGCAGCCACTTTCAACTTTGGTTCTGAAATAGAAGCCCAAGACAAGTGCCTTAAACTTGAAATCCTCTCTAATCTCTAACAGTGGGGGACTTCACTGGTTTCAAAGGAAGTCTTGTGTTATGGAAGTGTGTGAGACAATTACACTATTTTGTGGTTCAATTTTCAAGTTTTCTTATCTGTCTTTTTCAGCTTATGTTCTTTGATCCTCCCTCTCATGTCACTTCTGGTATTACAAAACCACAATGGTTCAGCCAAAAAACACAGAGGGCGACAATCAAGGCCTCCAAACAGAAGTCTACAAACGAAGGGGTTACCTCACGCTGACAACGTCCACTTCTAGTGTTTAGTCTACAGCGATTATAAACTAATAAGAACATATCTCTGAATATTTCATTCTATTTATGCCAATAGATCCCCAAAAATGACAACACATGGTGCTTTAACTATTCCATTCTCTCTAACTGTACTTTGAAGTCAGTATGCTTCAAACAAAGAGCTATTCAAACAGCATCTGATATTTATGTGCACCAATGTCTTTTTTTCCATCAAAGCTTCATCCTCTTCTTTTAGTGCATTAGCAACATGTATCAACCCCAATGATTTAAAATAGGGTTGTAAAAGTGTTCTTACTGGGTAGTTTATCTCATTGAAAATGTAAGTCAATGGGAAAACGTTTTTGTATGACCAAAATGACGTCTTGGATGCTGTAGTACCACCGTTTGGCCACTACAGCCATTCCAAAAATCAGCTTTAACAAGACTGACACAGTAGATAGCGTAGCTTCAACTTAACCATCATATTTCACACAGAACATTTGCTGTCTTGGCTCCCTTTGGCACCATTATTACATTATGTTGAATAGATGATTCCTGGGGATGGCGCATTTCTAAGTTGACATATCTATTACACTGCCTTGCTCTCAATTGTCTCACCCTTCTTGTCTCTTCTCTCCCTCTTTGCCACCCTAGGAGGCTCAGAGCCAAGGCTACAGCCTGACACCGGAGAGGACAATCCCTGACAATATCTCCGTTAGTGCAGGGAGGGAGAGACCGAAGAAGCCCTACAATGCCACAACTCCACAACCCGCCACCAGGGGCGCCGACTCGAGTGACGAGGACGAAGACGAAGAGGGAAAGATGTACATGAATAGAGGATTTTCCTCGGGGGAAAATTCCTGCCAGGACTCTGTTGATGTGTCGGGGAACAGCAAGGTGTCTGCGTCAGGGGGCTCTGGCAGTTTGAAGGGGGGGACGCAGGTACCGGACACAGTGCTGGAGATTGAGGCACCACATGGGGGGGGGCTTGATGAAGATGAGCCCAAAGCTGAAGGAGCAGAGGTTTCGTTCCTGTCTGATGGAACAATCACAGGTGAGGTGGAGGAGGAGCAGGTGTGTGAGAGCTCAGGGAATATCAATCTGTTCTCAGTCACCCTCGCTGCACTGGCTGTATGCGAGGAAGAGGAGCACAACACAAGAGATTCTCCCACAGACCTTTTGCAACTTTCTGATCTGGAGCCTCTCCTGCACACACACTCACAAACTGAGTCAGATGATCAGACAGCCGTGGCATTATTGCTACCCACACAAGAAGACATTACTGAAGGCACACTTGCAGACACTTTCTCTGGCTGTCTCAACACCTGTGATGGTGAGATGCAGCATGAAGAGACCAAAGAAGAGGGGGAAGATGAAGAGGAGGAGGAGGAGGAGGAGGAGGAGGAGGAGGAGGAATTCTGTGGATACATGCAGCACTAATGATGTGTTGCGCTGTGTGTGAAAAGGGGCCTGAACAAGGCTATTTCTTGCAGCTTTTAAAGTGACATTCAAATAATAATATATAGTATAGTATAACTTGAGCTTAACTAATGATTTGTTTTCTGCTTTACTCAGGATAAGGTCATCTGTGGTGTGTCGTGCCTCTTACACACATCTCTGTACATCTATGGGCAGGGAAGCTCCTCTGCTCCATGTCTCAGGGCAAATAGAAACAGCATCATTGTGGTGTCATCTCTAATGTCACATCAGAGCAACAGTGGACCATTTCTGATGTTATTGTTGTTTGCACTATAGACTGTTCTCCTGTTGCAGAGCTTTACTTCCATATATTTAAATTGTAGACCAGAAGGAGAAATCCACCAGGCAAATCACACCCTGTTAATGGTCATTAAGTGCATTCCTTTGTATTTGAGGTAACTGAAATGTTTTAAATGTAGTTGGCTGCTGTTGTTTTGGTGCTCTATTTTTCTATTCGTAAGAACAAAAGGCCAGACACAACACATCCATACAGCTCTCCTGCGGCATTGGGCTGATTTTGAAAGCGAGTTGTTCTTGTAAACATCTAAGTAAAAAATATGAAACTTTACTGAGAGCTTCGATACATCCCACCTATGGATATAAAACTTCCCGAAAAGTCAACATAAAAAGATACCTCACATAAGCTAAAGTTAAATAGACATTTGGACTTGTCCCAGTATGGCACTGTGTCACTGAACCAGCATGAACATTACCACGACTCTGAAAGTGAAGCACATCATTGGCATTTTCCACAAACTTATAATTTAAACCTTGATTTTGTTTTGTTCAAAAGGCCAACTTTCAATCCCTCATTAAAACTCAACTCTTCAATCATGCCACCAGTGTATGAATGTGTGTGTGCATGGGTGGATGCTGGCTTTTGTTGTAATGGACTTTGAGTGGTTGCAAAGACTAGAAAAGGACTTTATAAATACAGTCTGTGAACCATAATGTGAATGTCCCCTGGATGGACATTTTCCAAAATATTGTGAAAAGTTTAGGAAATCTAGAGCTGTGTCCCAATGATTTACTACATGTATGTTCTCCCTTGGAAAATGACCAACTTACACAGTATTCTTCCTAAAAAATATGTTTGCTCTGTGTCATGTTAATGTTTAACAATGCATAACATTGTTAAACCAGGCAATACTATGGGCAATGCACTCTATTCCAAAGTCGCAGTTTGAAAATGAACAGTTGGTGCACATCTTTTTAATTGTATTATTTTTTCCTGTTTGTACGATGAGGTATGTTGATGTTATTGTATACTAATAACTAAATAAGCAGCAATATATTTGGTATTTAGGCCTAGTATTCACTGTATAAAATGAGTATGTGGTATTGGATTGGAACACAGCCTAATGAAGGATTGATCAGGCAGCTGGAAAGACACCAGCAAAAAATAATGGTGTGAAGTTAAATGGGAATGTTCTGTAAAACCATGTGTTTTCTGTTCTCACATTGATATTGCATGCGTGTGTTTATAGATTAATGTTTCAGACCACTGATGCGTCATTCTAGAATAATTCTTGACTCCATGCTTTAAAAACAAGTTGAAAAAGGTGCACAAACAGCAGTCCTATGACTTTACTTATTGTAGGCCACGTGATTTCCTATCAACAGCCTCGTCAGATGTTACGTTCACGTAACGACGGACAAATTCAATTCACCTCTAGAAGCAAAGTAAAGTTGCAAGTAACATTTTTTATTGTGTGTTTTACAATAAATTGGGGGGAAATAACATAACTTAAGATGTAGTATTATCACGTATCTAAGAGAAGATGTAGTCTTATCACCACCTGACAGCGTGAGAGTGAATGCTGTTTTTCTTTTTTATTCGTTATCGATATTTTTGTCCTCACTTTACGTTGTATGTTATCGCTGTCCAATTAAAAATGCCAACTTTTGTACTGAAATAACAAAGAACATTCCTGATGTATTTATTAATTCTTCCAATTAAAGGAACCTATTTCTGAAAACGCTTTATTATTGTTTTGTGTGACTATTTCGAAGGTATCCTGTCAGTGTGGCAAACTGAACTCAAGTTCCTGAAGGCAGCATGAACAGCTGCAGTTTGTATGCGCCGTCCACCACACCGCTGTCTGTCAAAGCTGGAGAAACACGTTCTCAGGACAGGTAACTGTAATATCTAACTGTTGTATGTTAAGAACTGTTTGTAGCTGTGACCTTACTACTCTTCTAAAAGCTTTAGATCGCTACATGCTGATACAGTCATTGCTAGTCCATGAGTTAGCTAAAGTAAGCTAACGGTAAATACATTTCCGGCTAGGGGCTGCCTTGAGAAAAACACAAATAAGACCAACTGAGTTACATTTAACAAGATAGCGTTATATGTATTAAGAATTCATTCATTTGTAAATAAGGGGACGTTCAACTGTGTATATAAGCTAACTAAGCCGGTACAAAGGCAAAGTGAAAGTATTTTTGAACTCACAGTGACGTTTCGATATGAAAGTAAACTGGTATAACAGTAACCTGGCGTAATGTGGAAATGTTACCTTCGATTGATTGATTGATTGAAAAGTTTATTAACAGCTTGTATATTGGGTACAGTACAGTACATCTCAAAACATACAATTGTTAAGGGGATGCAGACCAGAGAAAGACTTTCGTCTTGTTTACATCAGGGTCCCCCATTTCCAATTCATCATATCATTTAAGACATATAAGACATATTTGACATACAGATGGCTTATTTACAATTTACATACAGGTGGTTTTTTTCATACAGATGGCTTATTTACAATTTTCATTTTAGATTTCGTTCTAATACATCCTAACCGGACATTTAAGACATACCAAGTCTACAGATATACAGTTAGTAACAGAGTCTAAAATGCGAGTATATACATAGATGGGGGGGGAAGCTGTCCATTGTACGACAGGTTGAGATTTGTACTATTACCGGGGCCAGTTTTGCAATGCTCTCCCCCGAAGGTGCTTCAATTGTGACAAGGGTTATTTACGGTAAGTCTAACGTTAACTGCACATGGTGTCAGTGTGAAATAGAAAATAGTTTGCTACCCACCTGATATTCATCACATTACATTCATTTCTCAGACAATTTTGTCCTAAGCAAGTTCTGATAATTGTACTAACAACACGATATGATACATTTGATTTGACTAAAAGGCTGCTGTTGTAACTGCAGCTGATGGGGGGGGGGAAGCATGACCGCTCTCCTGTGGATGCTCGCGCTGCTGCCTCGCGTGCTGCTGTCTCGCGTGCTGCCAGGTGAGGACACATGGTTTAGTAAAGTTTGTGACATTTTTGTGAGATGTTTGACATGTGATCCAGCTTTAATTACAGTTTTGGGTCATGCATTATTATACGGTACATTTTACTAGTATATATATTATATTGTATTAAGTATAATTATATGCTGTAGTGTAGACAGACTTTGATACCATTGTGGAGTTCACCTTTAATACATCTCTGGATAACACAGAAAGTGTAGATTCAGTTGTTAACAAATCGAATAACTTGTTTTTTTTAATGCCAACACTTAGTATGTATATTTGAGGTGCATTTTAGATATGAATCTGCTATACTGTATGTATATACATTTAATGCCCGTTTATTTGTATTACAGCTATGATTAAACTCCCCTCGCCTGTCAACATAAACCTGACCTCAAGCCATTTCAAACACGAGTTGAGATGGGAGCCTGGACCAGGGACACCCACAGGAGTCTACTTCCATGTTGCTGTAAGGACAGACAGGTGGGTTTCATCAGTGTTTGTTATAGTTTATTGTATGTATACTAACTGTGAGTCTTTATAGAATCAGCCGGTTGCAGGCTTATTGATGCGTTCTGTTTGTGTTACAACAGAAAAGCATTACAGATGTTGGTCAGAGTTTGTACAAAGACACACACACACAAAGATGTTTGTGAAGAGACGTGTACTAAAGTGCAGTTTTAAGTCATAATCCATTTAGTGTTCCAAGCAGGCTAGAATACATGTTTACGCTTAAACCATCAGGTCATACAATCATTCACAGTCCGATATCAGCCAAATGTCACAGATAGTGACATCAGGGTAGTTTTCTGTTCTTCTCCTTTTGTTTACAGCAGTCAGCGTACAGCTGGCTCTTTACCAGTTCAGTTTTATACATGTGTATTATGATTCAAATATTAAAACAAATGCTTTGTAATTTCTATTGGGACTAAAATAGATGGATAGATAGACAGACAGACAGACAGACAGACAGACAGATAGACATTACATTTTACATTACATGTTACTTGTTAGACGCTTTTATCCAAAGCGACGATAGACAGACAGATGGATGGGTGGATGGATGGACGGAGGGATGGGTGGATGGATGGAAGGATGGAGGGAGGGATGGATGGATGGATGGAGGGATGGATGGAGGGATGGATGGATGGATACTTTATTCATCCGAAATTGGGAAATTAAGGATAAGCAAGCAAGTAACCCTAAAGACATTATGCATAATAAGGTGGAGAATTGATTTGAGTAGATTTAAAGGACATCTGTCATGCTATATTTAAATGATATATTGTAGGGCCATACCTATATAAGGTATATTTATACGTTTCTGTTTTCAAAATACCAAACAGATCATGCATTTTAGCCATGCCTCATTTCGCTCTATTTGCTGTTCTCCAGCCCTGTTTTTTGCAGGGGGCTGATTCTGTGAGCTGCAGCTGACCACGCCCCCCTGCAGGAGAGGGGAGCGCGCTCTGAACAGCTGCTGGGCTGTCAGAAGAGGGGGAGAAAAATAGATCTCCGTCCTCCGTGTTTTATTATAGCCTATTATTATATAGAGTCGTTATTCATTTGTTTTAAAGCTCAATAAATAACAAAGAAGACCTTTGACCGGCACTTTTCTAATTTTGTCCGGAAGATTTAAACTTTAACGGACATCTTGACCGGCGAAAGAAACTGAAACTGAAACTCTGCCGCACGTTCCCCTCGTTCCTTGGAAGAGGCGGAGAGGTGGGTGTTTGTCATCTGCTGGTGGACTAACCGGAGAGAATTACAGTGCTTGCCTCGACGGGGAGGGATTGCATTGAATTAAAGCAGCAGGAGCAAACGCTTGCATCTCCAGCGCTTTCGAGCGGCAATGGCCGGCCGTGGCCCAACCCCACATTCCCCTGATAGGTGGAGAGTTGGCCCAATAGCCGTAGCGCCACTTTCCTGATGTCAGGACAGTGTTCAAATCTGGATCAGTTTTTATCAGATCCGTTGCAGCTCCTTTTTTAGAGATTTGGGTATGGAGGAAAATGGAGAGGGTTGTGTTTTCTGACACTTGGTGAGTTCCCTGGAACACCGGGGACACATATTCATGTATGAAAGACGTACAAAAGTGCATTTTGCATGATAGGTCCCCTTTAAGGTAATTTAAAAAACCTTTTTCAAACAGCAGTCAATGCTGGTACTGGTAAGTAGTACCAATGGTACTACTTACAAATGCTATTGTCTGAAATATTCGAAGATTATCTTAATAAAATATGGTTAGACTGAAAGTGTAGGCGTCACGTTATTGACCTTCATATGTTGACAATGACTTTTTTGCGGTGAGAAAGCATACTGCTGTCAACAGTGGTGTCTTGTGGCCTCCTAAGGTCTGCTCCTCTCCTCCTCTGGTCCTGCAGGGGGACTCTCTGGGTGCCAGTGGCCGGCTGCCAGCATGTCCAGTCCCCTCTGGTTTGCAACCTGACAAAGGCCTTCTCCGTCCGGGATCAGAAGTACTTCACCAGGATCTCAGCACTGCTGGACTCACAGCCAGCCACCGTTGTCATACTCCCTGTATTTGAGCCCATCAAAAACAGTAAGTTGCAACGCTCTGAATTTAGATGTTGAATTAAAGGACTAATAATGGAGATGGCGTCTAGAGATGCCTCTTCCTTTCTTCCTGCCACCCCATCATGTTCTCTCCATTTGAACTTCTGTTTCTCTTCCTTTGAAGCAGAGAATATCAGCCCATTGCATTTCCTTTTCCCTTTTTCTTCTTTATGACCTTGGTTGTGGCATTCCTGAACCGACTTGTTAAGTTCTTTGGATTTTTCATGTTCTTTGATATATTCCTCCGCTACTAATAAGTTATAAATACGTTTTAGCTACAGGTTCCTCTAATTGGAAGACTGACTAAATAAATCAGGAATGTGTTTTGCTGTTTCGGTACAAAAGCTTGCATTTTCAATTTGGACAGCGTTAACATGCAACATAAAAACAAGACACACACCAAAATAACAATAACAAATACATTAAGGCTGCATCTACACAGAGACGAAATGGAGAACGAACCGAATTCGATATAAAAAAAGTATTCCGTCCACATGGAATCGGCTCAATAAACGTGTCCGTCCACACAAGACCACTCAACCCGCTGGAGACGCTGTAGTACATATGCTGGGCCTGTAAGTGGCGCTGTACTTCCGCCACAAAATACACCAAAAGCAGCGAAGAAGAACCCCCGAGCATGGTTGCCATGGTTGCCTGGTTGCCCTTCTGTTTATTCTCCGCGGTGGATTTAGCAACATGTAGTTCATGTAGTTCTCCATGTCCACTTGTTGCTGATGGTTGTGGTAGAGGAGCTGTAGATTTTCCACTAACATGACCATGCTACAGCAGTGAGCAGCAGCGGTGGGGAGAGAGGCAGGGCTCTGGCTGTTTCTCTTTTTTCCCTCCCCGAGGCGAGCGTGTGCTCCTGCTGTAAAAGGCAGGTGCACCCGCTGCCACTGTAACTCTGAGCCTGGCTCCCGAGCAGGACGTTCTCCCCGGTAGTCCACCAGCAGATGAAAAACACCCACCTCTCCGCCTCTTCCAAGGGACGAGGGAACCGTGCGGGGGGGTGTGCTGGAGGCTCCTGCTGGGTGCACTGTCCTGCGAGATACCGGGACCTAGCTCGAAACACTCGGAACACTGTTGTTGTTGTTGTTGTTGTTGGCGAAACACATCAGCAATGACGCGTGTGACGCTGGGGGTGAGCAGGAGAGGCGGGGCTATGGCGTACACACGGAGCCGTTTGGCCCCCCAGAGCGTTCCGTCCGCAGACCTACCCACCTTGGGACCCGTTACCGTTTGAGGGCTCAGTTTCCCTGGTTCCGTTACGGCCTCGTGTGAATTAACCGTCCATACGATAGAGAACTGTAGCAGATACAACCCGTTTCGTCTCCGTGTGGACGGGGCCTAAAAGACAGTTCATTCTCACTTGGTCATTTGGTGATAAAACGACAATTTAACCTGTGTTATTTTTCAATTTCATGTTAAAATGTGTGTGGGTGTGTATCCCCAGTAAGCTCAGTAAGGTCCTTCTGTTCGCCTACTGTTACAGACCTGCTGCAGTGCAGCACACACTGAATATACCATTTAATTTTTGAATACTTTGACTACAGAATGTCGGGCATTGTTTGCTGACAATATAAAACCAGCAACATGTATCTTTGCTGAGAGTATGGAACTGGGTTTTACTAAATAATGCTCCTCATATAACACTTACAGCTCTGGATATCTCATGTATTGCAAGTTATATTACTGAAAATGAGATGCAAAACAAGCTTTACCCCCTGCACTTGTTTAATTTCTGCTGCTCTGTTGAATTGTTTCACAGAGACTTGTATGGAGTCAGAAGAAGAAATTGCCCTTTCACAAATATATGGAAATGTTTATAATGGCGATCTTCCCCTTTTTTTTTCTATCAGCTAATGAAGACTTCATGATGGTCATATTAGTTTTGTCCCTGTGTCTGTGTTCTCCAGCTACCCTGGACCTGCCCCTGCTGACTGTGACGCCCTGTGGCCAGGACCTGTGTGTGGACCCCCGGCCCCCCGTGGAGCACCTCAGGGCCTACTATGATATTCGGCATTACACACTCAGGATCCAGAGCAACAATGCAAACAACGCACAGGTACTGCATATAGACTCACATACAGTGTGAAGGGGCGGGACTTTACCCACAAATCTCTAAGTGGTAGACCAATCACCACAGAGCTGGCCAGCTAACCAATCAGAGCAGACTGTGTTCTGGTTTCAGACAGAGGGTGAAAAGAGTTGCTGCAGCAATAATGGGTGCTGGATGAAATGTACAGAGTAGTAACAAGGACAGATAAGCATTTTAATGCTACTGTGTGATGTTTCGAAAGCTAATGCTCACATTTATAAATGTCATCTGAGGACATATTTAGGTTTTTGCCGGTGCTATAATGATATGTAATGAAACAGGTAGTGTACTTTAACATTTAACCTGTTGATAGAATAAAGTTAACAGGTATAGAATTGGACCAAAATGATGCATTTCACAGAAAACATCACCCCCAAGAGGACCAATTGTATATCAATTACTCCTCCCATATTACCTTGAACTCTTGAAGAATGCTTTGTTTTTCACAAATGCCTCCACGGTGAATGTGAAATTGAAACAACACTAAAAAGTATTGCTTGATCAAAACATACATATTCAACTCTGCATGAACAGGCCAACTACTGATGCTATGATTCCAACTTCTGTGAATAAAACGTTTTCAATGTTTTTGTGACATCTCAAGGTTTTAATTCTTTGTTCAGCTTCGATATAAGATAAGATAAGATGGTACATTATTGATCCCAATGTGGGAATTTCTTGCGTTGTAGCAGCATAAAAAAGACATGGCATTGTACGATAAAGATTCAAAGAAATAAACAAGAAAGTAGCAAATATACATGTTGAAGGCCTGGGCAATATATCAGTGCTATATTAATATTGTGATATGAGACCAGATATCGTCTTAGATTTTGGATACTGTAAGTGGTGTATTTTCCTGGTTTTAAAGGCTGCATTAAGTAAGGGATAATGTGCAGCGAGGCGGTCATTATGGGGAAAAGAACACCCGACGCCTTGCTGCACATTATCCCGCTTATAACACGGCCACATACTAAACAAACTAACGACTCGACTCCCAATATTCATCGAAATGATTTTATTGACTTAAAAATGATCCTATTACTTCCACAAAACGGCTGGGACAACAACAACTTTACGGCAGCACTGTCCAACTGTGTTCACAGTTTCTGATCCACTAACAAGTCCTTATACTGCAGAGCCCATACCGTGTTCCTGTTAGTGTTGGCTGTGATGCAAGTCAAATTTCAGACATGATCTGACCAATAAAGTATTATCGTATCGTATCGTATTCACTTCCTGTCTGTCTTCTTCTGTTCATTTATCTGACGTCCAGCACTTTAACCTCTTTTCCTTTCTCTTTCTTGATCCTCCTTAGCAACGGTCATTATAGTCCTTGACAGCGGTCTGTAGTAGGGTATTAACAATATGTCACATGTTCTGAATTAACCAATAAGAAAACGAGTTTACAATCAAGCCGTGTAATAAAGCAGATTGATATTTCCCGAATCTACCAGACAGTTTTAGCTGCTCTATTTGCCATTACCTGCTTAGTCATAAATCCAATTACTTTTATTATTTTGAGAAAGCAGTAGTTTTGTCTTGTTCTAACGTGGCGTCTCTTTCTGTGCAGTCATTTATGGACACCCAGTCTCTGGAACGAGTGATTCTGAAGAATCTGGCCTCTGGCAGACAGTACTGTGTGTCAGTCCGTGTCTCTGACGTTTGGGAGCAAAGGAAGTCCAACTACAGCCAGCCTGTGTGTGCTTTCACCCCCGCCCACTACACTGCAGGTACAGCTCTCTGTGTTCGGGTGCACAACATGTTATCGTTCTGCAGTGGGATTATTTTCCAAAGTCCTTATGACTGCTGCTTCATATCTTCTCTGACCCCATGGCGTCCACATCAATAAAGAGTTGTTAGAAAAGCTTTCTCTGACTAGAGTGGTGCAGTAATGAGTCTTAAAACTAGCATTTTACCACTTCCGGTTACCTTGTCTCAAAGTAAATGGTTTGTGTTGGGTTTCCCCTTTCCAGAAGTGTGTTTTTTTGTGCATGTAAATGGTCTACAAAGGCTTAAATCCCTGTATCTTTGTTTACTTCTAGAACATACTGTAGTGACATCATGTAACACTCACACCTCTATTGGCTAGCTTTTCATCACATTGTACATGATAGGCTAAGGGACGGGACAGCTCTAAGAAGTTGACCAACCACGACAGAGCCGGCCAGTTAACCAATCAGAGCAGACTGGGCTCTGGTTTCAGACAGAGGGTGAAAAGAGATGCTGCAGCACAGGCAGTATGAGAAAAATAAAGAGCTTTTTGAACATTAAAGCATGGAGACATGTCACAGTAGAGACACTACATACTAATATGAACCTGAACACTTTTAGAATATGTCCTCCTTATGATGAAGATGATGAAGCTTGCTGTCCTGCAAGTCACTGCGGGTTTATGTGTAAATAATCCCATGACCCCTGTCCTCTGCAGACCCCTGGATCTCTGCCTTCTTGATTTTGTTTGTGATATGTGCTCTGGTGGTTTTGGCCCTGATGCTCTACACTGGTTCCATATGTCTGATCCAGAGACCCCTGCCATCCATCCTGGTGAGTAAAACAATCACCCTAGTTTTTTGGTGGTGCAGAATTAATAGTAACAGTTCTTGGAAGGTACCCGGCTGCCCCCTCGTAGCTGAAAGGTACATTACATTTGTTGTTTAAAAGTTTTTAATTTTGTCTCTTTTAGAAAGTGACAAATAGTCAGCAGTAATGACTACAAACTGACATGTATATTAAAAAATGATTCACAAACTACTCCTTGAATAGGTAGTAGGTTTAACTGAATAGGTAGTAGGTTTAACTGAATAGTTAGTAGGTTTAACTGAATAGGTAGTAGGTTTAACGTTTCGGTTTCTGCATTCATCATGTTGAAGGGACGCTGAACATTTTACATTTAAATTAGTAATAAGTCAAAGATTATTGGTGGACCTAAAACTGCTATGAGGAATGTATTAGTAGAATTAATGGACAAATATTTGAGTGATGAGACATATTGATAACTCCCTCCCTGAAATAATGAATGACAGACGGATAGTAACACGGCAGGGTCCGACACAGGTTTTTTTCGATTCAATCTAAAAAAAGGTCTTGGTTTTCAGAATATAAAAATATTATTGTTAAATTCAGGTATGCAGTGCCTCCCTTTTTGAAGGCTTTTTTCTCAAAATAGTGTCTCGACTCAATATTTGGATTTCAAAATCAATAGTCATCTCTTCCGTCCAACAGTACGTACAACTTAAAACGTGTTTCTGGGTTGAAGTGCCTGAGTTTGAAATAGCAGGTCATATTATGATTCGTTGTCTAAGAACCCTGTTGGTCTGTACAGAATGTTGCATTTGTGGAATGGGATTGAGGTCAGAAAGTGGAAGATTGGTTTATAAAGTAACAGATGTCAGTGTTAAATGAAGCATGTAACATGGCTTTATATTAGGAGAACATCAGCTCTGAAAACAGATTTGATTTCCTTTAGCACAGCGGTTTTCAAAGTGTGAGGCGCTCGTCCCCTGTGGGGCGCCAGAGAGCTTCAGGGGAGGCGCAGCGTGAGAAAAAAATAACGAGAAACAGTGAAATCTAGCTAGTTGACTTCAGCTAACTTTATGCGAGCGGCAACATGGATCAATTTTTAGTGAAGTTAACTAAAGTGAGAGAGGAGACAGCGTCTGGCAGAAAACGTCACTTGCACACTTTTGGCTGTCTGGAGACCGAGTTCCCCCACCTCGCCAAAAAGGCTGTAAAAGTGCTCATTCCCTTCACCTCCGCCTACCTGTGTGAGTGTGTGTTTTCCGCATTGACTTTGATCAAAAGCAAGTACCGGTCAAGCAGGGGCGGATCTACTGGGGTGCAACTGCCACCCTAAGAATAGCCTTGCCACCCCAGCTGCCACCCCAGTTGGCAGCTTTGTTTTGAAATAAAAGTTGTGGCTCATCGGACATTTATGAGAGAAAATCCCTAATGTCAGAGTGCAAGTGAATGCAGCACAAGACGCGAGCCTTGTAACCCCTCCCCCGGCCCTGGTGCGAGCGAGGAAATGTGATTGGCGGTGATTTCATTTGAACGGGGCGGCACATTCGGACCCAAGTAGACGGAAGGAATGAGGTATTTGCGGTCTTCAATGACAGAGAAGAGACTGTCAAGTTTGGCTGTACTCAGCATTGACTCAAAACGCACTAAAGCTGCTGATCTTAATAAGTCTGTGAGGCGTTTTGCTGAACAAGATGGTAATCGCCACATTCAGCTGTTATAGGCATGCCAACTTGATGCTCTGCTCATGGATGACTCGATGAGCATAAACAACTGTTAAGATGATGACCTACGTGTGTAAATATATTTTTTTCTTTGTGGGGGTCTGCCCCCAAAAAACAGTTTTAAGTCCTGAGAAAGTCAAATAAGACGGTGTGTAAAACTACACTGCCCAGCCAAAAAAAAGTAACCACTTTGATTTAACTAGGCCAGTAGGTAAGGACATTCCACTGGATAATAATACCCCTGCATTATAGCAACAACAACAATAATAATAATAATAATAATAATAATTGGGAGGGGGGGCGCGGCTGTTCTTATGTTCTCTGAGGGGAGGCTCACCTTCCCACACTTTGAAAACCCCTGCTTTAGCATACACAAAATGTGCTGTTTTATTTGCGGTTTGACTTTTTCTGAGTAAAGTAACAGGAAAGCACTGCAGGTGGAAACACTTGAGCAAAACACACCCCGTGCATGTGACTTTAGTGGCTGTGGTTGATGTGTGGTGAAAGAAGAGAAGACACTAAGGCAGGCAGCTGCAGAGACCTGCTGTAGCTGTGCAGCAGGGTGGAGGCTGTGCTTAGTGAGGCCTACAGACCTGGTGACTCTGAAGGCCAAAATGCTTTGCAGGGTTTACAAAATGGAAATTGAGGAAGTGAAAAGCTCGACCTTTAAACACTCTTTGTGTGTGTTATTTGTATTGTTGTCATGTGCCACTGTAGCTGATGAAGGGAACAACAACATGTCTTCAGTTGGAAAATGGGACTGCTAGTATCAAAAACACATTGAAAATGTTATTATTAAAGTTGAAAAAAAGTAATATCTTTTAGTTTATTCAGACACATATCTAAGTACATATTCAGAGACTTAAATATACAGCACTTAATTGCCTTTTCCCTTCTTCACTTTGTTTTATTTTTTTATCTTTAGACAGATTTAGTAGCATAACCAGAGATATCCCATTTAATATATACTATCATTTTGAATAAAGACAAAAATGTATTCCTGTGAAAAAGGGATGAAAGTTTCCTTTATTTCAATTCAGTTGACCCAAAGTAACAGTATTGCCATATTTTATTTGGTTCATTTGTTCTGCAACTGATTGATATTTATTTTCCCTTTTTATTTATCGGCATCATTTTAAATACAGTAAGAGTTAGAACTTCGTTACGAGTGAGTTGTGAACTTGGAAAAAAAAGGGGGAGGGTTAAGTTTAGGGTATTTGATATTTTCCTAAGTGAGATGATTATTTGGTTGGTAGCTTTTGAAACCAGCAATTCATACCAGTCGTTGGATTGATATACTAACAGCATGCTGGGATGTAAGAAGCGTTGTGTGTTGGCGTGGGTTAGAGTTAACCTTTCATATTTGCGCTGTTTGTCATGCGAGGGGGATTTAAACAGGCTTTTTGTGTACAATAAGTTGCAGTTTCATGTTCCATTATTAATTAGCTAAACCCAAAGAAACACAGAAAGATATGGAGGGGGTTTCCCCTCAGCCTGTATGTGGCTGTAAATGAAATGCCAAGTGTGGAGGCTCACCAACAGTTTATTGTCCAGCACACAGCACTTCCCGGCACTTTAATATGATTCAGCAACATTTACGCTGACGGGAAACACGCTGCTTGATCGCACAGAATTAGATGAAAATGTATGTCTGAACTGAACGGAAATGATAAGTTAGTACTTAAAGGATTGGTACATTACAAGTGTTTAATCAAATAATCACATTTTCTTTTCCATTAACCAGTCTTTAAACACTGCCAGAGCCCATACTAGGGATGGGAATTTGAAAGCAAATTTATATTCGACCCCCAAAAAAACGGTTAACCGAATTTACAGATCCTATAAAAAATGTTAATAATAAATAAATGTTCAAATAAATATAGAAACCAAGTCGAATTTGTCCAACCTCTATTGAACGGGTGACCGCAGTTTGAACAGTTGAGAGCCATAGGCCTACAGCTTTCATGCTTAAAACATAACAACATAACGGCTTCTGACCTCTTATTGCTCATTGAAGGCTAATTAAATGAATCAAAGTCAACTTTATTGTCAATCTTTCAGTTTGTGTGTACAGACAGAGAGATCGAAATTCCATTTCCCACAATCCTGAATACAATAACAAAGATATATAAAAATATGTATATACCTATATATATATACATATTCATATTTTGATATATATATATATACACAATCAACAGACACATTTATACATATGCTCACATTTAGTCAAATAAATAAAAGCACAACAATCAATATATACAAAATAACAGTCACTTCAGTAACTTAGAGAAATGTGCATTAGTGCAAGATTGTCCATAGCAGCTTAAAAAGTGTATGGGGCTGGATGTGAGTGTCTGAGTGAGTGGTGTTAAAGTCCATGTCCAGTGGGGGCAGGGGGGAGAGAGTTCAGCCTCCTGACAGCCTGGTGTAAAAAAGTGTTCTTTAGTTGGGTGGTGCTCGACCTCAGGCTGCGGAACCTCCTCCCTAAAGGCAGGAGGGTGAAGAGGCAGGTGGAGGGATGGGTGGGGTCACCAGCGATGCTGAGTGCTCTGGCGGGTGTTCTAGAGGTCCAGGAGTGAGGGGAGTGAGGCACCGATGATCCTCTCAGCTGTGTTCACGACGCGCTGCAGGGTCTTGCGGTTGGATGCTGTGCAGCTTCTGAACCACACCGTGATGCAGCTGCTGAGGATGCTCTCGATGGCGGCTTGGTAGAAGGAGAGCATGATGGGGGGGGAAGCTCCTGCTCTCTGAATGCGTTGCATAGGCTAGATTATTACAACAGGACAGAGATCAACAACATATAACAAGGCCTATGCACAGTATGCAGCTATTTTAAGACTCATTTTTGTTTAAGAGAATAAGCATGTCTACCTGCTCAGGGGAGAGGCGGGTGCGTAGGCCAGCTGTAGAGAAGACCCTCTCAGCTGGAACGGAGGTTGCGGGTATAGCCAGGTATTCCTTCGCCAGGACACTGAGTTCTCTGTACCGTCCTTCATTTTTCCTCCACCACTGTAGTGGGTTTTCCTCTGGTGGGATGCACGGCTCACTGAAATAGAGTTCCACTTCATTGTGGTCTGGGTCTTCAATGAAGTAATAATAATAATAATAATAATAATACATTTTATTTATATAGCGCTTTTCACAACTCAAAGACGCTTTACAGTATGAGGGAGGGTAGACAAACAAGGACAGGCAAACAAATAAATATAGTAGTAGTAGTCCAAGTCCTTCCGAAACAGGGTGTTTAACGACACGGCCCGTGTGTTGCTGCAGCTCGGGCTGACTGGTTCTGGCTGTCTGACTGTGGCCGTGCTGGGGCCCTCAGCCTGGAGCCCATGGCCACCAGCAGCAGCAGCGCTGGTCCTCCTGTCGGGCGCTCGCTTATGCATTTCCGACGATCTCCGAGCGGAGAGTCTGCGCTACAAAACACAGGTGTTTATCCAGCGATGGATAAGATAAGATATTTAATTAATCCATTTGATAATATGTAATCAACTTAGGCACCCCTCCCATAAAAAAAGAAACTCTTATTTGAATACCTGAATCATTTCGAATATTCGTTTAATCATTCCCATCCCTAGCCCATACTGTGTTCCCTTTAGTGTTTACTTCCTGTCTGTCTTCTTCTGCTGTTCCTTTTAATGTTTACTTCCTGTCGGTCTTCTTCTGTTGTTTTCTCTGACGTCCTCTTACCCTCTTTCCTTTTCTTGTGCTCTTTTCTTTTCTGGGGACAGTCTAGCCATCGTCAATCCACAGTTTGGTGCTCTTCACAAATATAATAATGAATATTCCAAAAGTATTCCATGATGTTTTCTGATGGAGGAAACTAATCCTGTTTTCCACAGCTGACGTTAAACAGACCAGACTCCTTTATGTGGATATGACTGCACATCCTTGATCAGAGAGTCTTCTTTAGCAATGGTCTGCTAGACAAAAATAACAGACCTCTGGAATGTTTACATTTACCAATCAGCTTTGAGTATTCAACTAATCTGTGTAATACACTTAGTTAAGAAAAACAATCTAATCCAAATTGCATTGACAATCTACACTTTTCCCTTAACTGTAATGCAACCTTTAATACCAGGGAAATACTTGTGAAATGACTTTATCAAAATGTAAGATGATATGAAGTCCCAGGTCAGGATATGGACTAATGCTAATCCTAACCCAGCCCCGAACACATCATTAGGCTCCGGGAACCGGTGTAGGACATTGTCAATAAGTGGTTCATTCAAATATGTGACTATGGAAACATAGGGCTACAGGTGTAACATATCGGATCCAATGTTCAATATAATACTATTTTAACTAAATAAAGAGACAAAACATATCCTTTCAACTCATGCTTCATTTTGCAACCAATTGTTATTTTTCAGTGTTTCTCTTTGTGTATGTTTGCTAAATAAATTAATGCAAATAATAAGTTGTTTTCTTAGAATGCATGTCTCACCAGCAACAAACTGTGTGCAGAAGTTTTCAATCAGTCAATGATGTTCCACCATACAGACTTCTCATAGGGTGCTAAATGTATTCCTTCTGCATCAAGAAGCAGAAAAGTAGTACTACTGTATGAAGAGGTAATTTGCCTACTTGACATTGCACATGCTGCTATGTGACTATTGCTCATGCACACATTGCAATGTTGATGCTGAAACGAAAAGCATCATTTCCTGCTCACTAATGGAAAATGTACTTCCTGTTAGCTGTTTTAAGAGTTCAGTTGCTGTTGAACTAACCTGTTGGTTTTAACTTGTTCCTTTCCTTCTCTCTCTGGTCTCAGAGGTCCATCCATCACATAGAAGAAAGGACAGTCGTCCCCTCCTGCAACTCGTCCTTGTCTTCTCTCTTGAATCTTGAACCAGCAGCGCCCCCTTCAGGTGAAAAGAGCAGCTGCCACAGCTCGGACGAGAGCGATGAGGAGGAGAGTGTGACGGAGACGCCGCGGGGGGGCAGAGGAGGAGGGTATCAAGTGAAAGGAGGCCCTAACCCCCTCTCTTCCTCCTCTTCATCCTCTGGGTCTGCTCCTTTATCCCCACAGCCCCTGCCAGGGCAAACAGTCTGCTATAACCCCTCCCCTCCAGCAGAGACATGTACCAGTGCTGGACTACAACCTGCCCCCCCCAGCCCCACAGACACACACTGCTCCACCATAGGGACGAAGGTGGAGGGAGGGGGGGGCAGCCAGGAAGTGAACCTCCTCACATTGACTTTCGGCATCCACGGGGAGGGGGAGGAAGAGAAATCACATTTTGACAAGGTAGAAGTGAAGCCAGAGGTGGAGGCACAAGCTGCGGACACCTGGGAAGTTCCCATAGAAACTGTTTCCTACCCTGGTGATGAAGATGAGGAGGAAGAGGAGGAGGAGGAGGAGGATGAGCAGACTGGGTATACGCTGCGGTGATGGTCCTGGGGTTTCCCAGCAGGAAGTAACTGGGTTTCATTTATTTGTATAATTTCATAATGTGTTAGCAGCGGTGTAACTGCAGGTCAGGCAGCAGCAGACTCTGAGGCTGAGAGCAGCTATCATCCCCTCCTCTGGGTTTTCACTTTTTTTAATTCATTGTTTGAATCGGTCAGGTGGCATGCTTCAAGCAACCACAACAAAAACAATAACAACAGTAATGTTTGTGCACGAGGCGCTTCTCTTGATAAAGCTTTGTGTAAACTGCAGTGCCTCCTCTGCAGCTGAAAGGCAGAGGAGGCACTGCTCACTGTCACGAGTTGATATTTGTCTGTCTGTTATTTTAGTGCTGTCACGTTACAGATATATTGATGCTGCAAATGTTGGATCATGTATCATGATTTCACATTTGCCGTTTCCTTCCAGGGCATGAAGGGATTTCTCCCCTGGAACTCGGGCATTTGGTTGTGTATTTAATGCAAGATCCAAGCGTCAATCCGTAGCAATGTGCTGAGCATCGCTGGTTGCTTCTGTTTGAAAGTGCTTCCTTTCTGCAGGGTGCCAAAAATGTGACATGGCCTGGAGAAAAGTCGCCATGTCACAAGTTGAGTAGGAATCTTTCGACGTCAATGCCTTTCAATCAAAGAATGAGGAATACTTTTAAATGGAGGTTATTTTGTACATGTTGAGCTCATCCTCTCTGTGAGCTAAATACAAAATGAGAGAGAGACGCTTTTTCAAAACATTTCATCCATTTTATTGTACTCAAGATCAGTGATTGATGATGAGAATGTCTGAATTTAACTTGCACTGAGAACAACTTGTAAAAAGGGCTAGATAGTATTTTGCAAAAAAAGGTCCACATGATGGTTACTGTATATCTTGTTTTGTATGTATGCACTCGGCTCTTAACTCTGAACCTGTAGCGACAATGAGACTAAAGATGACACTATTAAAGAGGCCCTGTTCTGGTTTTTAGGGTTTTCCCTTTCCTGTAGTGTGTTCTATAGGTGTGTGCACGTTAATGGTCTGCAAAGGCTAAAATTGCGGTGAAAAGAGGTGCTGCAGCACAGGCAGTATGAGAAAAATAAAGAGCTTTTTAAACATTAAAGCATGAAATACAGACATGTCACAAATAAGAATCTGAAAAGAGCATAACAGAGCCTCTTTAATGCCGCTTTATCTAAATGAAAACAAATGGATCATCAATTTACATTTTGGAAATAATTGAATATGTTTCATCACGTAGTCTGTTACATGTATGAACTCTGAGCCGGGCAGCTGATAATCATGTTTAGTTATGACCGGTGATATTAGTGAATGAATGTGACACACTAACAACTGTAAAATCTTCTGTTTTTATTTTGCCATATTTCATACAGTCATATTAACATTGCGCTTGTTTTAAGTTACACATTGTGTTTAGGTGTTACATGCAAGTTATTGTATTTAAACACAAATAATCGAACAAATTCCATATGTTACATTCTTGTATTTTTATACTCACTGTGAAATCTTGCCATATTCAAAAAAACGTATTAATGCTCAAACCTGTACATTTCACATAAATAAAGTCACAGTTTCAATAGCATGCCGAGTTTTCTTGTTTGTATTCTCCCAGTAAAAGTATAATTTCTTCAAGAGAAAGATCAAAAAGCGGACAAAAGAAAGTTCAGAGTAACTCCAGATCAGACGGCAGGTTCTGACTCCAGTGTGAGACAGAGCGCTCACGCATGATTAGAAGAGAACACACAGGGAGGGACTTCGGGGGAAATAGAAACTCAACTGTTTTCATGATAACACAGTGTATGTTTCCCAACCCCCACGCATACCCCCCTCCCTCCCATCCCTCTATATGTTGTGCTCTCTAACCCTAACCAGCCTTATCTGCCTTTACCTGCGAGCCATACCACGTCCATGGAGCACGATGAAGCTGTGGATGATGCTTCTGATTCTGCTGCTACACCTTGGTAATGCTCCCTGGATGAAAGGTGGGGAGGAATATGGGGTTATAAATCAGGTTAATGTGTGTGTGTGTGTGCGTGTGCGTGTGTTTTTTAAATCAGCTGCCTGTCTTTGTTTTTACACCTTTGGACTGACCTATGTGTGTATGTATGATGGCAGGATCAATGAACGCATGACATTCTGTTAAACATATTTGTAGTGGTGTGAAGTAACTAAGTACATTTACTCAAGTACATTTTTGAGATTCTTGTACTTGAGTATTTCAATGTTTTGCTACTTTGTTCTTCTACCCCACTCCAATTCAGAGGTAAATGGTGTACTTTTGCTCCACTACATTTATATTTTGTATGTAATACCTTTAGTTACTTCACAGATGTGGATGAATGATGTGAAATATAATCAAGTGTGAAATCAGACTTTAGTTCCACCTGGAGTAAATCCACAAGCTACCCTGCAGTATACAAAGTCATTCAAACTAGCTGCACCTTTACCAGCTTTGAGAACACTTTCATGATCAATCATTATAAAACATATCATATATATTATTCTGCATAATGAGTACTTTTACTTTTGGTACTTTAAATATATTTTGATGCTGATTTACGTTTCTATTTTTACTCAAGTTCAAGATCCTCCCATCTCTTCATATGTGTTCGGATTCAGATGCCTATCTTTTATGGGCTCAGAACAGTCTCATAATACACACATGCACACAGAAGGATTCACACTTGTATTTCATGATCCGCAAAAGGACTCACACTTGTATTTCCGGATCCACACTTGTGTTTTTCAATGCACACACAAATGTGTTCCGTTTCATATACATGTAAATAAAATCCAAATACAGAAAAAAGTTTTACATATGTATTTTTGATCCTCACATATTTGTTTTCCGTTTAAAACCGCTGCACCTACAAACACAAACCGCTTTCTGTGCATGGATCGCTGTGCATTCGTGTGTGGGTTTTTTGAGACTCCCCTGACGGTCACCCGATTCGTACTTGTAATTTTTTCTATCTATAGCCAATCAGATGTCTCCTCAATTCTAAGCCAATCACATGAGCGCGCCCCCACGAGGGTAGATTTCTTGCGTTCATGACGTAGCGCTTCATGTACGCATTTTGCGCTGTCCGGAGCTGACAGGTCCATGGAGCCTGCCTGCAGGCGCTAATCTCAGGACACTTCCACTCTCAGTACATTGCCACTTTCCGAGCAAGAAATGCACGCAAATACAAGCCTTTATATTATTAAGGTACAGTGCCACTTTCCGAACCATTAATGAATGCTTGTGTACATAAAAACGGCAGGCAAAACCGTTTTAAATGTGTGTTTCCTGTATGGCAAATACAGCTGCTTTATTTATGTCTGTATGAAGTTGTTGTGAGTGTGGAGGGAGCAGCTACAGGTTAGCTTAGCCTAATCGATCAGTGCACTACGAAGCCAGTGCTAGACAGTGAACTGTCAACGGGGGGAGCCCCGCCGGTCATTATCGGCCGATATTCACTCTTAATAGTTTGATCGGTGCTCTCTATAAAGGCCAATCAGGAGAGCTGGATCTGATCGATATGGACATAAACGCGAGTGAAGTTTTAGCGAGCTGCATGAGAAACTGACGGGCTGTCAGGAGAGAGGGAGGGAGAGAGGAAAAAAGATGATCCTTTTACTCCCGTGTTATTAGCCATATCCGGTCATAGTCCGGTAATTACCTGCTAACGGAAACTCTGCTACACAATTCTTCTTCTTCTTCTTCTTCTTATTGAAACATGACCGGTAAGTTTCAAATTTGTCCGGTAAAATAAATTCTGTCCGCGGAAACCGTGCTCCGGACAGCGCAAAATGCGTATATGAAGTGTCATGAACGCAATAAATCATACCCTCGTGGGGACCCGCTCATGTGATTGGCTTAGAATGAAGGAGACATCTGATTGGCTATAGATAGAACAAATTACAAGTACGAATCGGGTGGCCGTCAGGGGAGTCTCAAAAAACCCACACACGAATGCACAGCGATCCATGCACAGAAAGCGGTTTGTGTTTGTAGGTTCAGGGGATTTAAACGGAAAACAAATATGTGAGGATCAAAAATACATATGTAAAACTTTTTTCTGTATTTGGATTTTATTTACATGTATATGAAACGGAACACATTTGTGTGTGCATTGAAAAACACAAGTGTGGATCTGGAAATACAAGTGTGAATCCTTCTGTGTGCATGTGTGTATTATGAGACTGTTCTGAGCCCATAATCTTTGTACAGGAAATGTTTGTGTTGAGTGTGCAGAATGTAGATTCAGCCCTGTTTGGTTCAAAGTGTCACTGTCCTTTTAAATCCGGGTTGATTTCCTGTCCTCCTGCAGTGGTGTGTGTGTCCCTCCCCGCTCCTTCCAAAGTCTCCATCTCCTCCCTCAACATGGAGCACACTCTCAGCTTCCTGCCGGGCCCCGGGACCCCCCCAGACGCCCGCTTCACTGTCCAGGTCCTCCGCCTCAGGTATTCAGTCGCTGGGCAACATAACGAGACAGTGAGACAGACTCAGCAACAATATACTCAACACCAGTGGTGTAATGTAACTAAGTACATTTACTCAACTACAGTACTTAAGTAGAAAATTAGGTACTTAATTACTGTACTTCAAATATATTTTATACTTTTACTCCACAACATTTTGTTGTCAAATGTTGTACTGCACATGATTTTTGTTGACATATTTAGTTACTTTGCAGATTGAGGTTTATAAAAAATATAAATAGACTACCCAGTAGTGTATACAGTCATTCACTTAAACCCCACCCTCACCACGTACAGCATTGAAGTGATGAACACATTAATGAACCAATAATTACAATTATTACAAAATATCGGGACTAACTGTGCCTTTCTGCATAAAAAAAATCATTTTTCTTTTGGTACTTAAAGGTCCCATGTCATGCTTTTCCGGTTATTACCCGTCCCCTTGTGTGTTATGAAGGTTTTTATGCATGTAAACGGTCTGCAGAGTCACAAACCCTCAAAGTACACCCTGTAGCGAGTAAAACTCTAACACAGTCTATGCTGCCCCAAACGCCTCGTTGGAGTTTTCTTCCTGGGTACTGTGACGTGTGAATACCCAGAGGCCACACCCTCTGCCAGCCTTTCACGAAACAAAGCTTCACAAACCTTTCAGCGATTCATGCCGGATATGTACAGCGTAGGGCACTGAAGAACGATGCTGTTCCTACTTTGTTTGGACCAGCGGGAGATTCGGGTACACAACCTGTAAGTATTCATTGTTGTTTGTGTATTTATGATGTTTAAAACAAACAAGGTATCTACCACGACTGTTTAAATGGGTAAACGTTTTTCGGGCTGCTAAGTTGGGATCGCGGAGAAATGCTCTCCGCAGACCCATTCTCACAGCGTTATAAACATTTTTCTTACTCAATATCAAGCCACACTTATTGTTTTTACTTCAGCTGTGAGTGTTTGTGTGTGCTCAGGATGAGTTTTGCTTGTTCTCGCTGTATCGCCGACCCGGAAGCCTGTCTGCTCCTCGCAGCAGCTCACGGCAGCGGCGAGCAGCAACGAGCCTCGCAACGAGCCTCGCAACGTCCCGACCAACGTCCCGACCAATCAGAGCACACTGGGCTCACAGGGAGGGGGGGGCAGGAGCTCCAACAAGCCGTTTAGGACAAAGAGTGAATACCTGGTGAATACACATACTTTACAGAGATGCTGTATGAGAAACCAATGTGAGTTTGGAAAATTGCACAGTATAAATCTATTTTAGTATACCTCAACAATGGAATTATGATCAGTAGAAATGGCCATGACATGGGCCCTTTAAAGTATATTTTGATTCAAATATATATATTTTTTTACTCGGGTACAAATTTGAATGCACTTAGTACTTGGTGGAGAAACCCTTGTTGGACACACAGAGGTCAGACGCTTCTTGTAGTTGGTCTCCAGGTTTGTGAACATCTCAGGAAGGATTTTGGTCCTCTCCAAATCCTTAAGGTTTTGAGGCTGATGCTTGGCCTCTCGAAGCTTCAGCTCCCTCTGTTAAGGAATAATTCTTCTAGATATCTAACCTTTTGCTCTGTGACGTTTTATGATCTACTCTGACGTCTGTTATCTCCTTTAAGGAAAGGCCTTGGTGCCATATGTGTTGTTGTTACCAGTTTGTGACCGGTCAACTTGTCTGGCACGAATGGTACTTGTTGTGAGAACGCTGAGGCACTTCTTTATCGGTGTTTGTGATGTGATTTGGATTCACATCACAAATCACGATGTGAATCCACAAACACAATAGACTCTAAGATGTGAAATCTTTGAGGCCATGAGTGTCGGACGCAGGTGGTTCAGTGTTCCCAGCTGTTTAGTCTACTCCTTCAGAGATGTTGATTACTCTCTGTGAACCAGTTAAAAGGTCTAGCATAGAGAGAGGCTCTTCAGAATTGACGTGGCAACTCTGCCGTGAAGTCAGAACCTCTGACTCTTTGACTTGTGATGTGAATCCTCCGGCCGATACTCTGAATAAACCCATCAGTGTTTGACATCAAAAGCTCCAACTCTCACCGTGTCTCCTTCCTGAGTCGGTGACTCCCAATGCATTGCTACACAGAAGTTTCCCCCACACCCTCCACA